TTGTGCGATTTATAGGAATGAATTTTTCGAATATAATCTTAATGTAAATTCCTATGAAATCATTGGAATTTTTTTCAAGCAATATGCAAGTATAATGAAATAATTCTGAATCATCGTTGATTTAGATCAGCTATTTGAAAGCGAGAAAAATTATTTTTCTATTTGACAGTATTTCGTTTTATACTAAAATAACAGTACGAATGTTTTTGTTTTCATTATATTTTCAAAAATGTGCATTTGCATTGAAGTAATTATTAAAAGAATATCTTCGATCGTTAAATTAAACAAACCTAAAGAATTGATGTGGTAAAAGTATCGAAGAAACACCAATACGATAAAATATTAATTAATGCAGTGAGAAGCACAGCATTTCTGTAGACGATTGCTTACGCATTCGGCCTCTATACTTTGCGTGTTTTTTGCGGTGACAAAATCCATACATTATGTTGATAGAAATTCATTTGAACTATGTCACGGAGAGGATATGAGTGGCATTTTTCATCCACATCCACATCCACGTCTGCGCTCTCAACCCACAATCACGCATACTCAACAGCCATATCTATATCCATCGTCGCGCTTCAAATATGAGCATCGATGGATTCATGTCTCTTTTTTTTTGGTCTAGAATCCATAGGAATTCAGTTGTTTGGGTTTTCAAATCGATATTATTCACTTTACAATTGTAGAGTCTGTCGAATATTGGTGACGGTGCTTTTCGTTCTTGCGTTCTTTCTTTTTGTTATATCTATTATCTTGATATCAAGTGTAGCTGTTGTTTTCATCTCGTTTTTTTTTCCTATGACATAAATGGGTATATTCAGTTGAATAATATATATATATATATATACAGGGTGGACCAAAAGTAACCCGTCAGTCTTTTAATACGAATAACTTTTGATAGAAACAAGGTAGAGAGTTGTGGTTTTCACCGTTCGAAAGAGAAGATGAAGACGCGTCGATCTACATAATATAAGATAATTTGACCTAGGTTTTTCAAGGACTTAAACCGACGTTTTTAAAAAACATCGTACTCCGTCACGTGATTACACTGAATTTTTTATGATCAGGTGTGCATTCGAACCACAAGTCGAAAGCCTACAAAATTGTGCAAAGTTCAGACTTTGAGACTTACTCCTTCAGAAGTTATAAGTATTGTACTCGAAATTCTGAGCCGATTTTTTTATTAATTTCTGTGAAAAAAGTAACTGTTTGCATTTTTCTTACTTTATAAGAAATCATTTACCTGACAATTTTTGTAGAAAATTGATTAAGAAAACTCTAGAAAATATTTTAGAAAAAACCTATGATACATGATTCGATGTACCTTTATCTCCTCTTTCGAACGGTGAAAACCGGAGCTCTCTGTCTTGTTCCTATCAAAAATCATTCATAATCAAAGACTGTCAGGTTAGTTTTGGACCACCCTGTGTATACAAATACCTAAGTGATGCCATTTTAACGCATAGCATATTGTTGTGATCTAATCATGTGATCCAGAAAGATCAACTGATTTTTTTTCATTAAACCGATGCTCAGAATCATGACAATTCGATGGTAGTTTTTTGTCAGAAGACTCACTATTTCACTTCAATTTGGTAATGGTTCTATTTGTGCTTATTTGTGTTTGTTGACTTAATATGCTCAAATATGTGAAAGCTGAAGAGTACATTAGTGAAACAGTACAAAAAAGGCGAACGAGATCCTCTCTTAGTTGAAAGTAACAGGCTTCTCCGCAATAAGCATCTGTCTTTGTGATGGCAATCAATTTTAAAAAGCTGTTGCCCAATGGGTTTATAATTGCCTATGCCTGCCTAGTTCTCAATATAATATAGCTGTGAAATGTTAAATGCCTTAAAAGTTCTTGGTAATGTTACGGAAGGCGACAAAAAATAGGGAACTTATGTATTTTTGTACATTCTTTTCCGAATTATTTTTTGATAAACATTTAGTTGAGAATATGTTGAGAGATCGGTCAATGATCGAGACTGAAGTATCTTGAGGTGATCTGATCGGAATCAAATTGAGTCGATGCGGTTGGATCTTAGGGTCTTACCGTCTCGTATACCAAAAGTAAGCACTAATAATTCGAATTAAACCGAAAAATAGTAATTTGATTTCCCAGAAACAAATAACTGACGTCCTGCAGAGTAGGTTTAAACCACAGTTTCAGAATGTTTCTCAAGTTCACCGGAAGAAATGTATTGAAACTAGCACGTTGTGTCACAAAGTACGGTATATGTGGCATATCTTTTATTAGTGTGAATGCATACTGTGTGCGATTATACATTGGCCAAAAAATTGAAAGCAAACAAAACTGTTGATTCATTTATGGATACTGGAGGTTTTTCCGATACATTCTAATGTCTAAAGATAAACATCACTTTTCCAGTTTGAATGTGGATATTCTCATCATTAACACGCGCACATCCTCACTATTTGACAGGTCTTGATGGAAAACATCGATTGGTATGTAATATAGCGTAGATCTATGCGTTCTGGTAAAAAAATTCCTATACTATCATTTCAACATATACCTAGCAGTACTCAGCATAAAGTTGTTTTGAGTATTTCGAAAAAGATATATACCCTCTCACTTCTCTTTTGTGGATTTCTCAGAATTATTTAGTAGGTCTCGTGTAGACCTATCAATTGATATGAAATCCGAAGTACGCTGGAACCAGTAGAGAAGAGCACTAACGAGGGAGGATATATAGATGCTCAAACATCTTAAAGCCCATCTTTTGGTCACAAGTAGACCTAGATGTGGCATGAAAAACCTGAAAAGGATTCATTCCCTCATGCCTTTCTTCCCGAGTTATAACCGTTTTACTCGATTTCCGGCTTACTGCAAGATATTTCGAAAAAATTCGATTGACACATTTTCGGCCTGAAATTTTATCCATAGATACGTCTCATTGGTACTAGATTGTTCTACAAGTCTCAGCTCGAGCGAATGTTTCCTTCACGAGATACTGAATTTCCAAGGCAAATCAGTTTTTTTCGAGTGAATGCTAAAATACAGCATTTTTTAAATTCGATTATCTGAAGAAGAAGCCATTCATTCTGGCTGAGACTTGTAGAACAATCTAGTGTAAATGAGACCTATCTGTGGACAAAATTTCAGGTGGAAAATACATCATTTCAATTTTTTTGAAATACCTGTCAGTAAGCCGAAAATCGAGTAAAACGATAGTAACTCGGGAACAAAGACATGAGGGAATGAATCCTTTACAGATTTTTCATGCCTCATCGAGGTGTACTTGCGGCTAAAGGATGGGCTTTAAAACGCTTGAACATCTAAATATCCTTCCTCGTAAGTGATATCATATGTTTATGCACTATTTGATAGAGAACTGAAACAGCTTCATTTTTCATATAGATCGAATAAATATATGAGCAAATGAATGGAACAATTTAATTGAGCCCTATAAAGAATGAAAGATCATGAGCTCTTTGAGATTTCTATGCTCAAATCAAGGCAATTAGCTTCACTCATAGCCGTAAACAAGGTCTGTCTTAACAATATACTACATAGGCAGTTAGTTGTGGACCCTAGCCAGCCATGTAAGCATTCATTTGACCGAAAACAAATAAAGGTTGAAGAATGGCTCAAAATTATTTTGACAGCCCTTTGTTCAGGCTACATTTTCATAATAGAATGAATCATTTAAAATGATGTATTAAAGTTACTAGACGATATACAAATCTTCCATTGCTTACGTTGTTCAGTCTGATATATTAATGTACATTTCAAGTGAAAAATGGCAGATTTCCAAAGACTTTAACATAAATGAAAAGCTATATTCACTTCAAAGAAGCATCATATTTGAAATCAACATAAAAAAAAAGTGAGTCGACTTGTTCACGTTTCAAAGTTTTTTCTACTACTTTTTCTCTAATCAAATTTTCACCTCTGCTACCATTCAGGAATATGTGAAAAAATATATTTAATCAAAAAGTCATTGCGAAAGTGAAAACTAGATTCAAAACTTGTAAAATGCTATTAGAAGACAAAAAGATAGGTGAGTTAACAATAAGATTGTTGTGTTGATTCCAAATATGATGTTTCTTTGAAGTGAATATAGCTTTTCATGTATGTTGAAGTCTGCTGTTTTCCTCTCGGAATGCACACTGATATTTCAGGTTGAAAATGTAAGCAATGGAAAATTTGTATATGATCTAGTAAATTTAACAGATCATTTTAAATGACTCATTCTATTATGAAAATGTAGTATGAACAAAGGACTATCAGAATAATTTTGAATCATTCTTCAGCCTATTTGTTTTCAGTCAAATGAATGCTCACATTGCTGGCTAGTATCAATAACTAACTGTCTATTTAATATGTCGTGAAGATAGATTTTGTTCATAGCTATCATCGAATCGAAATTCCTTGGTTTTATGATCAAAATAATCAGCACTCATGAGATCTTTCATTCTATGTAACACGTAATTAGATTAGACTTTGAAAATTACAAGGGACCGAAATGAGTTTTTTATGTGCCTCGTGTTTTCTCTCGATAATCTCCAGCAGAAATGATTGAAAAAACGCGTTCATACTACATCGGATGACGTTCAAAAAGTGATTCTGATCGATGATTGCCCCCTTTCTTCGACAAAACTAATATGCACTATGGACACTACTGTGATATGGAAGATTTCTTACCAGATACTACTGCCATCTATGGAAGACCTAAATGAAAAATTTTTCCAATAGACATTTTTAGATTAAAAATAGAAGTGTATACGAATGATTAATAAGTGATAAACTTAGTGAGAAAAATAAATGTTATGCTGATGTTTGTTCTCCCATTGGATTCGACATAAGTTGTTTACGATTTCATTTCCAATGTATACGCACACTGGTGTTCGGCGGTTGTACGAAATTGAATCTAATATTCGTTATTTCTTGATAGAAGAGATTTACCATTGTTTTCTTTTTCCCTTTTGAAAATTTCAGATCATCAAAGGAATCAGTCAGGGTTAAACACCCAAGAATGACATCAGGCTATTCTATACTCCAATTAAAAGAAGATGATGCACTTAAGATTCTTGCAGCTCAACTACATATTGGCTCGAAAGATGTTGACTATCAAATGAACACATATGTTTGGAAAAAAAAGCCAAGAAATGAAGGTTAGTATCCAAATTGAAATTTTTTATTTTTAATATAACATATTTTATCCATATAATAGGTTCATCAGTCATCAATATTCGTAAATTCTGGGAAAAACTTATACTTGCTGCTCGAGCTATTGTTGCTATTGAAAATCCGGCTGATGTTTGTGCCATATCATGTCAACCACAAGGTAAAACTAATCGTAGAAAGAAGAATTTTCGTTTTATTATTGTTTTTTAAATATTAGGTCAACGTGCTGTGTTGAAATTTGCAAAATACACGGGTGCTACAGCTATTGGTAAGAAATATAAATATATATTTAAATACAAGTAAATAAATTTCATTTTTTGTTTATTCAAAAAGCTGGCCGTTTTACACCCGGTTCATTTACAAATCAAATTCAAGCTGCATTCAAAGAACCTCGTCTAATTATTATTACCAATCCAATTGTTGATCATCAAGCTGTCAGTGAAGCTTCATTTGTTAATATTCCCGTTATTGCTTTTTGCGATCCATCAACACCTCTTCGTTATATTGATATAGCTATTCCGTGTAATAATAAGGCAAGTAAAAAAGGAGGAGTCGATTGTTTTTTATTTCGAATAAAAATTTAAATAGGCTAATAAATCAATTGGTCTTATGTGGTGGTTTTTAACACGTGAAGTTCTTCGATTACGTGGTGAAATTAATCGACAAGCACCATGGGATGTTATGGTTGACTTATTTTTTTATCGTGATCCTGAAGAAGTAAAATTTTGAAACCAAATATTTATTATAAAAAAAGCTATTTTGTTTTTATTTCTTAAGACTGAAAAAGAAGATCAAGTTGGTCTTACTGGTCAAGACCGTGATACAAAACAATTTGCATCAGATTTTGCTTATTATGATGATGGTCCATCAATGATGCCGGCTGCAGAAAGTTTTGCAGGTAATCAAGAAAATTGGGGTGCATCAGCAACTGATAGTTGGGCTGGTACCGGAACAGGCGCCGCTGATACAAATGAAGGGAATGCATCAAATGCAGCCAACACCGTTGTTTCAAGCAACTGGTGATTTATGATAATAGAAAACAAAATGTTGACAAAATTGTTGTTTTTCTAAGCATCGTTAAGCCTCATTATATACAAGAACAATAACATTGTTACTACAACGAACAGCAACAGCAATTACAGTAGTAACAGTACAGTGTTATATCGTTGGGCTCATATTTAATAAAAACAAAAAAATATATGATATATCTAAACTCTTTTCTATTTTTTTTTATAAAAGCGAAGTGATGTTAATTACAGTTTTCTTCGGTACATAAGTGACAATGCAATCAAGGATATATTAGTTGTTTGCATGCTTAGTGTTATTGACTCGTTTACCTATAAGCGGAGAAACAGAATTAAAGATAGAGAACAAGAGAGCGAGAGAAAACAAATACAAATACATAGTGAAAAGTGTGTCTTTAGTCATAGAAAGTGAAGTAAGAATGAGCGCGAATGAATGTTTCTGTTCTCTCACTTTATTCTGCTATTGCTTTTACATACACACATCATAGACATTCATGCTTGCAATGCAAACAGGTGTTGCGACGAGAAAAGGATGTCCACGGTGCAAATATGAATGTCAACATACTGAGTTAGTAGAATATGTCACAATGAAAAATAAAAATAAAATAAAAGGTAGTGCACAAACAACTAACAAAAAATACTACATATTGCGAATAAACAGCTTAAACAACGTCAGAAGAAAAGGAACAAAGGCCACAAAATTTATTTTCAAAGTGTATTTTATTTTTTTCTTCTTTTATTATAGATTTTTAATTTATATAGTTATAATTATAATTATAATTATTTATTATTCTATTTTAAAATGCATATTACCGAATTTCGAATTGTTTTACCGATGGCAGTTGAAGAATATCAAGCTGCACAATTATTTGCAACAATTGAAGTTTCGAAACAAAATACAGGCGGTGGTGAAGGTGTACAAATTCTAGCTAATGAACCATTTCAAAAATCTATGGCAGAAGCATTTCTTGGCAAATACAATTCTGGACAATATACAAGAAAAATTTATCATTTTGGTTCACGTGTACCAGCCTTTGTTCGTTTAATATTTAAAGATTCAAATTTAGCTATGCATGAAGAAGCATGGAATGCTTATCCATATTGTAAAACAGTTATTACAAATCCATATATGAAAGAAAATATGATAATTGATATCTCAACATTACATTTGCCTGATCGAGGCGAATCCGAAAATGTTCATCAATTAACTGGTGATGAACTTAAAAAACGTCATGTTGTTTCTATTAATATTGCGGAAAAAGTTAACCGTCATGATTATAAACCAGAAGAGGATCCAGAAAAATTTCATTCAGAAAAAACTGGTCGTGGCCCACTGTTATCAAGTGAACCATGGTACAAATCTTGCGAACCACACATGTGAGCTTTATTTTTCAATAGTTTTATACATCAATAATAGCTTTCGGGATTTATTGGAATTTTTCTATAAAGTCTGTTATATATCAAGCGAAAGAAACTAGCTTGAAAGTCGATACCTAGCAGAGGATGAAGACTGACTCTTCAGAATTGTAGCTCTCTTTTGACAGAGTTTAAATGTATTATATTATATCAATAGATGAAGCTAGATTTGGGGAGTAGTGCGCCCTACACACTTCTCGGACAATAGAGTACATCAGGTTCAAAATTTTCAGATCCGAACTAATCCAATGGGCTCTAATCTTACGCGGCCTCTGTATATTAGCAGACATCCTATTTGACACGCGCGAGTGCAAATAATGGATTAGATACCTCGATGTATAGAGGTACTTGTCAAGGTGTATGAATAAACTTTGAGTCAAGATTAGAAGATCGGAATGAATTTTTTAGCTTCTAGAAAGTAAACAAATATGAAACTTCATTAAGGCCCCCCCCCCCTCAAAAATCGATCTCAGCCTAGGTACGTTCAAATGAGCTGAAATTTGGAGCATATGTTGGGGCTGATGTGGGGAGGCTGTGGTAAAATTTTCAGCTCGATACCACAACGTTTGACTGAGATATTCACCAAATAAGGGTCAAAAATAGGTCATTTTGGGACAAGGATTNTTGCAGCTTAGCCTATTTAGATTATTTCATGTTCAATTCAGTTATACTCTGTAATCATCATAAGGTATGGGAAAAAAGTTCGCGACATTTTCTTACCGATATTAATAGAAAAATTTCTAAGCACTTTTTTTTCATATAATATACTAAAAGATCCAGCGTGAAAAGCTCTACAATTTGCATAAGACCGCTTTTTTTACAGTTGCACTTTTTGTTTTCAAAATCGTCAAAACTTCGAACGACCAAATTTCGACGCTGCGAAAAGATAGCACGAACGAGAAGTTATCTTTTTTCTTATTTTATCTTTTCATTACCTGTATATATTGTAGAGCTTTCTACGCTGCATCTTGTGGTATATTTTGTTTTTTTTACGGAAACATACTAGGAGATAAAATGATGCAATAAGAAAAAAAGAAATGTCTTTTCATGTTATCTTTTCGTAGCGTCGAAAATTGATCGCACAGAATTTTGGTTTTTTTTTGTATACAAAAAGTAGACAATAAAAATAAGCTTTCCTTCGTGGATTGTAAAGCATTTTACGCTGCATCTTTTGGTATATTTTGTTTTTTTTTAAATAAAAGATTTCACGTGGTGAAGAGGAAAAAAACGCATTGGCCGTGTATTGAACAAGGACTTTTCGCAGCATCGAAATCTGATGGCTCAGAAGTTTTGACGATTTTGAAAAGAAAAAGGGCAATTGTTAAAAAAAGCGGTCTTATGCAAATTGTAGAGCTTTTCACGCTGCATCTTTTAGTATATTATATGAAAAAAAAAAGTTCTTAGAATTTTTCTATTAATATTGATATGAAAATGTCGCGAACTTTTTTCCCATACCTTATTTTCATTCAAAAAAAACAAACATTTTAGTTTCTCAAAAAGTTTCTTCGTAAGTGACAATTTCAGGATAATACTGGTAGTTATTCATTAGTTTGTAATAACTATAATTAAAAGTTTACAATAACATCTTTGATTCCGTACCCTTTTATTAAAATGGAATAGTTAATGACGAATTGTTCGTATCTAGTACACTGTTTAGTTCTGCACAAATCATCCCATCACATGATCATTTACAAGTACTGACAGTTTGTTTAGAAGAAAAGTTTAATTGAAGAGGGAACTACTCGAAAATGGTACCCACCGTTTAAGCTCATATTAGGTTCAAAAGGACATCTTGGTATAAAACTAGGAAAATCTTAAAAGAGTTCGTGCCCATCGAACACTGAAGTGAACTTATGGCTATTTTCGATTCAGCTTTAGGTATTTATCGAAAAATTAAACAAAGAAATCTATACCTACAGTCGTGCTCATACATAAATCTGATGGCTCTGAGAACATTCTAAAAGTTTCAGCCGAAAAGAATTATCCTTTGTCGAAATATTGAATTTTCAATAAATACTTAAAGCTGGATCGAAAACGATCATAGCTGGGCTCCAAAGGTCCGTGGGCACGAACTCTTTTAGGATTGTTCTAGTCTTACCGAGACTTTTTTATAGGTTCAATATAAGCGCAAATGGTGGATATCAGTTTGGATAGCTCCCTCACAATGACAGAATTAGGATTTTGAGCTAGAAGGCTCAGTTGTAAGAAGAATCATAACTGGCAATATACGAGACTATGCCTTCCTAGTCTCAATTATAGTCTCAGCAACTCTAATTTGGTCCGAAGAAAAATTTTCTTGAATTCATTCGTATCAGATCTCAAGAACTCTTTAATACTTGCTCTCGTTTTATTGATTTAGTCAACGCCAAGCACTTTATTCGATCGTGTCTGTTAGATTTTGCTGAAAACCATAGAATATTTAACTATAACCTTTAGTTTTGCTTGAAACAACTTGTTTTTTCTCATAGTCCCGATCACCGATACATCTCTGATCATGACAAATATCTCTTTTGACACATGTCAAAAACAAACTCGAAGATATTTTCTCATAACGCTTCAATATTAATAAACAAGATGAAGAGAAAAGATTTTAACTTACGAATGTTAATTTGTATAAAAGAATTTTTATCTTGACACTGATCATTAATTATTGGTACAATTAACTGTTCATTATTTTTCATCAATACATTTTTATATCGAGTATCAGGTCCTTTTAACAATGCAATTATTGAATTTTGATTCAAATCTATAGACATGAAAGATTTTTTTTTTCACTCGTATAGATTCATTATAATTTTCTTTTTACTGAAGTTCTTCTCATTATTTTTTGTTGAATATAATTTGTCTATATCATTTTTAATAAAACTTTTACCATCGATAAAAACCATAGCATAGAAAAAAAAGAATTAAATACTTAGCGCTTTTCAATACTTTTGTTATTCATATTAGATGAATTATTTGTATGTATATATGATCATGATAGACGAAGAGAGAAAAATGTTAAAAAAATACAGAAGAAACAAAGGAAAAAGAGAAAAGTTTATTGATGGTTATTTTTTTTTTTGTTTATATTTTCATAGACACAGGTTGACAAGTAAAACGAAAAAGAAAAAAAAACATGAAAGAATAATAATTTTGTTCAATGAACAATTTGACGGTTATTATAAAGTTTTTTTTTTTCTTTTCGTTTTAGTCTCTCGTATTTTCTGATCAAAATAATTATACTAATTGTTGACTTTTCTTTTCTTCGTTTAACCTTGAAGTATAAGTCGAAATACATTGTTTATTACAAGCCATGAATTATTATGAAAACGTAACAGAAACGTTTCAGTAAATTGCATTGGTGGATCATTATCCGCCTATATAAAATAAAAATATTTTACTTAATGATGAATTAAAATTTAGTTTTCAGTTACTTTAAGAGCTCCGGTAACAACAATTAAAATACAATTATCATATGTTGGTTGAATATCCAATGTTGATATTGTATGAGCTATTGATTGAAATGTTAGTGAACGTAATTTTTCAGCTATGGCTTGAGCACCTTTAGCAAAAGTTTGGTGATTAAAATTCATCATGCCATTAAGTGGTTCCTTGTTTTTAAAAATACAGAAAAACATGAATTTTTATAGATGAGAACATCAATTTATAGTTACATAAAGTGCAGCTACTTCGTCTCGTGCACCTGAATCAAATTTTTTATAATAAAATTCAACGAAAGCTTTACCAATTGCTTCGTAATCACCCATGATTTATTTTTTTATTTTATATAATATAAGAAGACAGATAGTTACTCAATTCTGAAATAAACAAAATAAAGAAAGAAAGCTGGAATATGTATATACATATATATATTTTATGGACAATGAAAAGACTAAATTTTGATTTCGATAATAAAATAGAAAAAATTCTTTTTATTCGGAAGAAATTTATTTCATTTTTAGTTATGAAATTTACGACGGGAAATATAAAATGAAATGAAATGCGACAAAAAAAGAAAGAGAGGTCATAGAAATATTATAATGAATAGAAATTTATTGATTGGCTAATTGAAAATTCTATTAATAACCACCCGAATTACTTCTTTAAAAGTAAACGATCGTTCAAAGTCCGTTTTGTATTTATTTTTGAGGACAATATGCCTATTTTATCAGGACAACGATCAATACCCACTCCACTGTCATGGAATTTAACAATCGATTCAACTGTGGTTGTTGTTACAGGTTCAATGTCGATTGGTGCACTTATGGTGCAACTTGTCAATCAACTTGGTTAGTTGCATTTATTCATTTTTTTTCTTATAAAAGGTGATTATCAATGTGTTGAAGACCTGACTTAGCAAAACTCTTTGTTCTATAGACTGTGACAAATAAAAATATCTGTAAAGGTCAGAATCGAAGCGAGATAGCTAACATTAGACAAAGGTTATTATGAGATATCATAGAGAGATAGAATGTTTTACTTGATAACAGATTTAGACAAATTGTTTAGCGCCGTTTAAAAAGGAATAAATATTTCCATAATTGAAAAATGTGAAACATTCGGTTCTTCTTCAGATCGACGACACCTTCATCGTATTGGTTAAACTTACAACACACATCAAAGAGAGCGGAGGGAATATCAAAGAGTGTGGGTACCGTGGTGTCGTTGATCGGAAGAAGTAACAAACATTCTATGGCTGAAGAAGGAACCTCTTCAGCTGTCTCCTTCCAGTTTCAATGACTTTTTGTCTTTAGATGTTACATAATGGTCTAATAAAAATCCAAAAAGAATTTCGATTCCTTTGAACATTCGACTAGCTATCGAGTTTTTAATATATCTATTTTTTAAAAGTCCCAGATTTTCAGAAAATTCGTAATTTCGATTATTCCAAAAACTTGTAGCCCATAGAAAATAGATATTAGTAAGAGTTCGATAGTTTAGTCAAACATCAAGAAGAATCTAAATTCTTTTAGATTTTGATTAGAAAATTATGTAGTGTCTATTGGCAAAAAATCATTAAAATCGAAGGGAGGCAGCTGCAGAGAGATATCCCTCGTTAGTAACTACGTGTTCGATGCATAACCACAAAGTAATATGTGAAAACTTCAGTACTGCCAACTATGGAATGATCCTGAGCAAGTCACCAACGGCTATTTGTCCTGGATCATCCATCTGATGGTACGCTGACTATTCTATGGTATATACCTGCTCTTGTGGTTAGTTATAGGTGTGTGAAGGTTAAGCAACTGAGCGCAAGAAATCTACCAGCCTTCTGTCCAGAGCTACAGCTCGACATAGTTGTAAGGAAGATAACAGACTATCGAATCTGCTCCTAGACATCAGTCAATACCACAAGGTGACTGAAAAATAGAGTTATTCTTCTTCCGAACTTTGGATACGCCATTCCATTACACTCACCTAACGAAGGAAAGATCCTCAGAGAGAAGAAAGCTACAAAAAGTTTCCACTTGGAGAGAAGTTTGCTATGCTGTAATTTTTGTATAATCATCAGACTTACGTAAATGAATGTTTAATTTTCATTGTTCGAATTATTTCAGTCGATGCACTAGACATGTGTGAAACTTACTTATTTTAATGTCTGCAATTGAATTCAAGAGAGCTGGATGTAATGATTTTCTAAGCGTTGGTCGAAATAAATATGTTGAAAGTAAAAATACCCAGAAATTCGAAAGTTAAAACCTAGAACTGTTGAAAAATATTCGTTCGAAAAGTATTCATGAAGATGTCATTAACATATGATTAACGTTGGATTACGTTTCTGTGCACATGGGTGTGGTTGTGGGTCATATATTCTTCCGCATGACATCCACATTCATACCCTTAGTAGTTTGTCTTTTATTATTCTCGATCTTCATCAAGAATTATTTTTATCTTTTTTTATTGTGTTATTGAAAGATGTATCTGAAGATTTTTCTGATAATGCACTTTGGTGGCCAAAAGCGAATATTTGGTTAACAAATACGAAATGGACACTCGATCAATATGGTATTCAGTCTGATAGTTATTTAATATTTACAACTATGCATAAAATACTTCGTTTACAATTACCTGATCTACGTGTTTTATCAGTTCGTGCTGATTTTTCTGTATCTGTTTATGCATCTGTTTGTAAAATTTGTAAAGATCTTGGTAAGATTATTAATGAAATAATTGATAAAAAATTTATTAGTGATTTTATTTTATTAGGAATTCGTCATGCTGAAGAACTTTCACTTTTACGTTTACCAAGAATTTTAAATACAAATGATCGTCGTGCATCACCACGTCGTCGACGTCAACACATAAATACACTTAATCGACATAATTCAATGGGAGATTCATTAGCTATTAATACATCAACTATTTCAACAGTATTTTCTCCAACAACATTAAAACCACGATCAACAGTTGCAATTGATAAAATGACAGATTCATCATTCCAAAATCGATGTTCAACCTCAAATCTCTCAAAATCACTTAATATTTTAACAATAAATGATGATGGAAATCTTGCTCATACACCGTTAACACCAAGAAAAAATCTTTTACCACAAATAATTCGATCAATAAATTTAATTGAAAAATGTAAATTAAATAATCTTTGGTTTGATTCATCAAAATCATTAATGGAACAAAATCTAAATGAAAATGATTTAGTTTTATTACGTTTTAAATATTATTCATTTTATGATTTAAATCCTAAAGTAAAATAAGCTGTTTGATTATTTTTTCTATTTCTATTCTTATTCTTTTTAGCTTGATGCTATACGAATAAATCAATTATATGAACAAGCTAAATGGTCAATATTAAGTGAAGACATAGATTGTACAGAAGAAGAAATGATGACATTTGCTGCTTTACAAGTAAAACAAAAAGACTTTTTTCTTTTCCTAAAATAAATTTCTTTATTAATTTTTGTAGCTTCAAGTTCAAATTCAATCTTCATCATCAACAATAATTAACAGTCAAGATGATGATATAAATCATCAATATGATAATACTACAATTGATCAAGCACTTGAAAATTTACAAAATTCTTTATTAGGAAACACTAAAATTCAATCAACAAATTCAATTCAACAAATAAATATTCATCAACAATCAAAGGAAGATTTACGTAGTTATTTACGTATTTTTCGACCAAGACGATTTACATTTAAATCATTTAAACGTTATTGGTTTGTTTTACGAGATGCTCAATTAGCTTATTATACAAATGAATCTCAACAATATAATACACCAATTGAAAAAATTTCACTTAAAGGTTGTGAAATTCTTCCTGATATGAATATATCAGCAAAAAAATATTCAATTCGTTTAATGATACCATCAATTGATGGCATGAATGAAACATTAATCAGATGTTCATCAGTATGTTTGAAATTATTTTTAAAACAAAAAAAAAATTTTTTGTGTCTTGAAAGGAAGAACAATATGCAACATGGATAGCTGCCTTACGTCTTGCATCAAAAGGTCGATCAATAGATGAAACATCTTATGAAACAGAACGTGAATCAATATTAACATTATTTAATATGAAAAATTCATCATCGAATTCTCAACATACAAAATTTAATATCCAGCCAGAAAATTATGTTTCAAAAAAAGTTTCAAAAAAATATAAAATGAAACAGGTTAGCGAATTTTACTATTTCTGTATTGTTCTTTTTTAATTAACGGACAAATTTATTGAATTATTTTCTGTTCATTTGAAATCTATTCGATATAATATATAATTGTCCAAAAATGAAACTTAATGCTTCACGACGATCTTACATTGAATAAGAATTTATTTATGTAAGAACAGAATGAATAGCAAACAAAGAATACACTATTGTTAAGTTAATTTTTTTGGTAAGGTTTGTTAATCATTAATTATATTTTTATTTCTCTTGTGAATAAAGAAAATAATAACAAACATAACAAGGAATAAGGTTAACATGAAATATTCAGAAAGAAAATTGCCGATAACAAGAATATATTCTTATAATCGTAAATGAAAAACAAAAAGAAAAACATTTAATGTATCGTCTAGTAAACAATAATAATTTAGTTAATATTGGCTATTTGTTCATTCGAATACTCAAAACATACTATAGCAAAATACCATCGAGACAGGTCAAAAGTGTTTACTTTATGGAGGTATTCGTTATTGAGGAAGTTTTCAGTTTCTTCTTTTCAACAATTAATTAATTCAAATTTTTTAACCAGAAGTAAATCAACATGCATATTGACATGATTCGATTTTATTAGCCATTAAAACACAAAAACGAACGAGATGTTAAACCAAGCACGGCTGGTATTGTCTAATATTGCCTATTTTCTGTTAAATATTCGCAACTAGTCCATTTTCCTTTCGTATGTATCATGTGATGATTTATTAATAACGCAATACACATAACATGATTATTTTCTTTAGCGGTATGTGAGTGACAGAACATATGTTGTTCATATTACAGAAGTTGTTATTGCTCATAGAACTAGAAATAAGTGTACATTTCTTAGAATTAGTACAGGCTCATTCCTAGCTAAATTTGCTTGGATAGACTATAGACNAAATGAATAGGATGAGAAAGAAATATTTATAAATTGTATTATACGATGAAAAAACAGCCACTTATATAAAGATTTTTTATCAGAAAAATATATTACTATTTTTTTCATATAGATAGCGTTCTTGTCTACTACAGCAGAATGATCAAAAAAAAAATATATAAAAACTTTGTTCTGTTCTGTACTGCAAATAGTTATGCTTTATAGTCATTAGAGTACAGAGAAATGGATTATAGTGACTAAATAAATTAATAATTAAAAGTAGTGTATTAACTCAAGTTTTAGCAATAACTGATGTGAGTGTGAGAGAAAAAAATATCAGCTATATAGTCTAATATTACCGTCACATATCATAACCAACATCTGTTAATCGAAACTTTATTATTATAATATAGTGCATTGTTTTTACTATCAATATATGTAAAGAGAAAGTTTTCTCAAGGTGTTTCTACTGAAATAAAGTACCTTTGTCATGACTTTTGGATTGCCGTAATTAGTATGATATTTTGTATGATTAATCAAACATCAATGTATCAATAAATTTAACTTTTTTTGAAAATTATCCAATCCCATTCCATGCGGAACTTTGCCAAATAAGATGCTCACTCAAGTCCAAAACAAATTGAAAGAAAAACATGCAAGCTTTACTATTTTGTAGAACCTTGCAGTATCGGTTATATCTTAATTGCATATGTATTTTTTCCATCATTGAAATATATTTAAAATGTATTTTTCATATAATGATTGATTAACACGATTGTCATTTAGCTTGGAGCAAAATTTACCTTTGATATATTATTTAAAGATTCTTCTCTTTGAACTAGTCCACATAAATTCATTATCATATAACAAATAACTTCTTGTTGACAGCATATCTTGTTCTATTCACAGGCAATTAGTTGTGATATTTACATGATAGAATCGACATATGCTCTTATGATGATATTAATAATGATGTTACTTGCTACCAGGTAAACAGATAGATATAAATAAAAGCTAGAGCGACATTTTCTTTTATGTAAAACAACGCTATACAGCTACGCAAACCTTCTACAGTTGATATTGAATAAGAAGACATGTCTTTAAAAATATGCATTATGTTTCTTCTAATATTTCAAAGTTGGGTTGCCGCCGAGGATACCGAAAATTATAGTATGAACAATAGTTAATGTTGTTGTTGTTTATTAGATAATTGAAAATTATTTTATTTAAATAGATATTATAGTTGTTGGTCAAGCTTTTTTTATCATTGGCATAATTGTTGTATTTGTCATATTTAGCATGAGTTTAATGATTTTTTGTTATTTTGCGTAAGTAGCATTTGTTTAATACATTTTAAAATGTTCATGAATTTATCTAGTTTAAAATTTATCAAAAGACAACCATCTGAACCACAGTCTTATGCTGATGATATTTCAAGTAATCAAAATAGTAATGAATGTTATGATGGAAATAACGGTACTTATTCCGAAATACAACACTTATATCAAATTCAACCCATTCCAACTATTTCACATATTATTTCATCAACTAAACAATCTTTGACAGATTTATGTTATTCTATGATACCATCCAAATGGTCACATATCCAACATACAAATAATCAACAAAGTCCAGACAACAAAAACATGGATTTACCAGTTTAAATAGATTTTTGGTGTGTTGTTTTTTTTCTATCTCTAACAGTATATTTTCTTTTTCTAATCATTTTTAATATGTTCAATTCATTTTCTCTAATCATAAATACTTTAATAATCAAAGTTTAACTGTATTATATTTTATATTTTCATTCCAAGTGATATCATTAACACGAAATAGACATTCCTTATATAATTTTTTTTCTCATTATTTCTCTATGCTAATATTAGAAGTTTTAATCTGTGGAATATATCTTCATGGACGCCAAAAGTAAACATGAATAAATTTTATCATACTATCTTTTATTTACATTGTTTGCTATGAAATGGACGCGTGTCATCAAGAAATGTTGTCGCTATATTGAAATTAAACAAATAAAACATTGACATAACTTTTCATCGGTCTATATCCGTAGTATTTAAAATTCTAAGTTTCCTTGTAAAATATTTATTTCAAAAGCTTATAAAATCATTCAAAGTAAAGGATTCTGTCAGATTTGTCAGTAAATGAAAGAATTCAATGCTAATAGCATTCAAAAACAAACAAAAAATTTTAAACAGAAAAAAAGTAATGAGGGTAATAAATTTTTCGATGCTAAAATCTATATAAAATTTTTTCCCTATATTTCTGAGAAGGTATGGGGTAATGGAGATAAAAGGGTGTGGGTGTGGGTGTGGGTGTGAGTGAGTGTGGGTATGAGTGTAATTCAACTCTAACAAGACTTCACCCACATTCACACCCACATCCTGTGGTTATAGCATTATACAATGATTCGGCATCCTTTTGATCGCCTATATTTTTTCTTTGATTAAATCGAATAACCAAAAATCATATGGTTCAAGATCTGGAGAATTAGGTGGATGTCGTATTATTGTGAAACCTTCTGATTCTAAGTATAATCAGATACAGCTTTGCGAATATGAGGTTTTCCATTGCCACCAAAAAGAAAATGCAGATGGATGAAAAAATGATCCAATGTTATAGTTATATTTTACACAAAACAGTTCTTCTCGAACTTTTATTATTATGGGACCAGTTGAATATGGATGAAATAGGACAGAAAAATACAACTTCGTTTTTTCTATCACTTCATTAAGAAAGAAAATTTCTTCAAGCCTTCTATACGAAAATAAGGTACCTTAGCCACTACTTTTGGATATCCCTAAGTACATCTATTTGCTATTCTATCATTTCATGTCCATTCCTATGCTTTTTTCATGGATTCTACATGGATTCATTGTTGTAGATATTGAAGATATATTGAAGATATAACCACTTCAACACATATGGCAACCAGTACAAAAACAAAAACAATTTCGTTATTGACGATTACGTGATTATTATCGTTTTGTTGCTTGTAATTTATCATCAAAACGTCCAATAATGACAACCACCAATAGCTTTTTTCTGTTAAATAAACACCAGAAGATCTTCTTGCTAGACAAGCAATGAAATTAGCAAGAGTATACATTAGTACAACAATGAATTTTATGTGAAATGCAATGCCATTTGAGTATTTAACATATTGTACAGAGTTAGTATAAATCAAAGGTTGTCTCATTTTTTTTTTTGTTATCAATATCATTAACTTATGTTAGATTTCTACATACATTATATTATATTTATGCACAAGAACAAAAGAAATTTTTGAGTTATAACTATCAAAATAATGAAACATTGATTAGTACATGTTATTATTTCTTTATCTTACTTTCTATTTTGTTTAACTCTAGGTGAAGCAGTCGATCGCTGGATCGAAGAAGAATTTAATCGTAAATCACGAGCTAAATGTTTAATTTTAATTGAAGTGTCTGGTACTAGAAAAACAAAATTTGATAAATCATTGCCTGGTCAGTATAATTATTTCAAAGAAGAATGATGATTAGATAACTGGAATGATTCTGCCTATTATTTAATGTTTGATGATGCTAATTGGGATCAATTTAAAGAATTAGGTTTTTCTCGTAAAAGAAGATTTATTCACATAAGATGGTCTCGTAAATGTATGTGCGTGAAAACTTCTTCATCTGGCATTCTCTTAAATAAATATGTTTCGATTATACTACATCTGTTTTGTTTTTTTGCTCCTAATTCTTCTATATAGGTCACTGATAATAAATCTGAAGATGTTATTGAAATTAATATTACACAGCCGACTATCATCCTATTAACGTCATTACCATCTGATGGTTCTTTAACGGCTATATCAACCAACAATAATGAACAAGAAGATGCCTACTATTAGCAAAAACGAGCTATTATCTATCGTATGAGTAATCAATTATCACATCACTTATTGAGATTTACTTATTACATTTCCTATCAATATATAGATCGTGATGAGTATTTTTACGAACTAAAAAGTACAACTGAAAATAATAATAACAGTAATAACCAAGCAAGCAATACATTCAATAATATCAATCAACATCATCCAGGTGAATAGCCAAATGAATTTGACGAGGTAATTCAATATTAATTATCGTTTCTTTTTGTTTTGATTATTTCGCTCATTATAAATGCTCGTATTTAACCATTTCATTTAACGTATTCACTCATATTAACTATCATTTTAATCATTTTTTTTTGGTAGTATTAGTAGTGATAGTTATTGCTGCTGTCGTTTCTTCACTCTTGAGTTTTGTTTTGCTTTTCTCTATCTATTTACTATGTATTATTTTATATTTATTGAATTCGTTTCTCTTAATACAATAATTATTCATCTATTATTCTTGATTTAATCATTTTTCTTTATTGTCAATATATATATAAAGGGTGTTTCATAAGCTTCGGTCCTGTTTTTATGCAGAAAGATGCATTAAAATGGGATCGAAACTTATGAAGCACTGTTTATATACATTTATTTATTTAAATTTATCATATTCCAAACACATATTACTACGAAAATATTAATATACAACCTCAAACAATTATAAACACACGAACATTGGATCAAATATAAATAGCTATATGTAAAACAGAATATAACAATTCTAATATTATCATAAAAAGAAACCATCATCCGATGATCTCATCATCATTACTAAATCAACAAGATTCAATGACAACCTTTTTATCATCTACCTAATATTTCAACTGTTGAATACTTATAAGGTACAGAGATATTTACATAAATACTGTATACATAGCATCTACCTTCAAACGCTAAGGATATTGTGAAAATGTTGACATAGGGCTCAAAGAGGATCTCTCTAACTCAAGCGTGCCACGAAAATCTTCACATATATCTGCGCCACACGTAAATTCTTCCTGTGATTCCTTCAATATTTAGTCTTATTTTCGATGTTTGAGATGCTCTGAATCTTTCATACATAATTCTTACACGCAATCTTAAATTAATACTTGTCACTTGATAGAATTGTTTCAGCAACATCGAAATACCTGTTATCATGGGAGCTATACTAACCCTCAAGACACATCGAATATATAATGAAGAAAGAGAAAAAGTATTGAGATATAAATCATCATGATTGACATTCGATTTCTTATGTTGAAGAAATAGAAAGCAACAACAAAATAAAACAAGGAATATTTTTTCTTCTTTTAAAAATTCAATCGTTTGACATTTTACTCTCATTTTCTTTTCTTTTTTGTAATCCATTTATCATCATATTATGACATTTAGAGAAGTGATTATTATATATACTTACAGGGATTATTTAAATATTGTTTTTTGTTTTTATTCAGAATTTAAAAAAAGACGTAATCCTCATCTAAATCCATATTTGAAAGAAGAAAGTAATAAATGATTGTTTTTCTTGCATTATTTCTATATTTCTATAGTAAATGTTGAATATAATTAACACAAATGCAATCATAATGAATAGAATAGTTAAGATATCATTGATTATAATCATACTCAATTTTTGTTGTTTATTGAATATCAATAGTCAATCAACTCAAATAAGCACTTACTGTAATCCAATCAATATTGATTACACTTATAGTATTTACAATGCAAATGAAAATATTTCATATCGTTCTGGTGCTGATCCAGCCGTTGTTAAATTTAGAAACGAGTATTACATGTTCGTTACGCGTTCAATGGGCTATTGGCATTCCACTGATTTACTTCGTTGGTCATTTATAACTCCAGAAAAGTGGTATTTTCAAGGATCGAATGCACCAGCTGCTCATAATTATAATGATTCTGTTTTATATGTAACTGGAGATCCTTCTGGTTCTATGAGTATTCTTTATACAGATAATCCCAAGAAAGGAGACTGGAAAGCAATACCATTAATCATAAATGATTTACAAGATCCAGATTTATTTATAGATGATGATGGTAAAGCATACATGTTTTGGGGTTCATCTAATACATATCCTATTCGAGCAAAGACACTTGATACAGAAGATATGTTTCGTCCCTCTAAAAAAACCTATGAATTATTCAATTTAGATGAAAATAATCATGGATGGGAACGTTTTGGAGAAAATCATGGTGACACAGTGCTTAAAGGATATATTGAAGGGCCTTGGTTAACGAAATATAATAATATGTACTACATGCAGTATGCAGCTCCTGGAACAGAATTTAATGTTTATGGTGATGGTGTTTATATCAGTGATTCACCTCTTGGACCATATCGTTATGCACCCAATAATCCTATTTCATATAAACCAGGTGGATTTATGAATGGAGCTGGACATGGTAGTACTGTAATTGGACCTAAAAACAAATATTGGCATTTTGCATCAATGGCAGTATCAATAAATGTTAATTGGGAAAGACGTATATGTATGTTTCCAACTTATTTTGATAAAGATGGACTAATGTATACAAATACTTCTTTTGGTGATTATCCACATTATGCTCCAGCAGTTGCAGGAAAAATGGGAGAATTTACTGGATGGATGTTAATGTCATATAATAAATCTGTTAAAGCATCGTCTTACTACGATAAATATAAACCTGAAAATATTGTTGATGAAAATGTAAAGACATTTTGGGTAGCAGAAAAAAATGATGACAAACAATGGGTAGAAATTGATCTTCTCAATTTTGGAACAGTCTATGCTATTCAAATTAATTACCATGATTACAATTCAAACATCTATGGCAAAGTTCAAGGATTGCATCATCGTTATTTTATAGAAGGTTCTATTGATGGAAAGAATTGGTCACTATTGGTGGATAGGAAAAATGATTACAAGGATGTACCTAATGATTATGTTGAACTTGACTTTCCTCAAATGGTCAGATATATTCGTTACAAAAATATTCATGTACCTACTGCAAAACTTTCTATTTCTGATTTACGGATTTTTGGTCGTGGCCATGGTAAAGTTCCGGCTAAGATCAAAAATTTAGTTGTAAATAGATATAAGGATCGACGAGATGCTATGATTACATGGGATCAACAACAGGATTGTCACGGTTATAATGTCCTTTGGGGAATTGCTCCAGACAAATTGTACAATTCGTGGATGGTTTACGATAAAAATTTCCTAGAACTGAAAAGTTTAACAGTAGATCAAAATTATTATTTTTCGGTAGAAGCTTTTAATGAAAATGGCATTTCAGAACGAACAATGATTGTGAGAAGCAAATAGTTTAATAAAATCATTATTATGGATATTGGACATATTATAATTCTATATTATATTGTTCTTTATATAACTGGCTAAATTTTATTTGTTTTTATTTTATTTTATTTTTATAATTCAAGTTTAGTCGTTCTTCTAATATTATTATATGTACTTTATTAAATTTAATCAAATATAAAACAAAACATAAAATGACTTTAATATAACATTAACATCATAACTATGAACTATGCATTTTACAAGAAAGATTTTTTTAAACAAATAAAAATAAATAAAATACAACATACTAATGCCATTATTATCTATTATTATACTGATATTTCGCTCCAATATGGAGTATCATTAGAGTGATTTGACGAAGTTTATAAGCAAAAATATCTTGTCATTACCTAGCAATGTTATGGCATCTCTATACAATATTTCAAAAGTACTCTAATGGTCAGTTCATATACTACATATGAGAACAAAAAGTTTGTTAACAATAATAAATATCATCAACACACAGGAAAGATTTTGAATAGTTTAAAAAATGACAAAAATATTGTAATTTTACAGTTTGATAGAGCGAGAGGTGTAAGTTAAAAAGGCTAAGTCAATACTCAGCGATTAGAAAAATCTGTACAACATCTTCTTAAACTTAGCAATCAAGGTCGCCTATCTAATACACAGTATTTACCTAATATGACCCTGTGGATGTTGTAGAGATCTTGTAACAAATGTTTAAGTTACAAAAATAATTTATTAGAAATTACAAAAAGACATCTCTCACTCTTTTCTTTTAAAAACCTTCAATCAGAATTCGTGAAATGTTACAATGCTTACAATATACATTTGAACTCCACGACCACATGTACAATAGCAATTATTGAGTAGTCACTCTTCTCAAAAAATTACCTTTTTTATTGGAACATCAATTTTGCGATTTTCATATGATTAGATAGACAACTATGCTGAACAAAATGACATGAAAACTTTTTCATCAAGTACGAAAAAAAACATCGTACTTTCATCAAAATTTTTTTATTTGTACCGCTCTATTCGTCGGTATTTTCCATTTTTGAAAGAATAAACTTCAGTTTTAAAAAAAAAACATTCTCATTCTTTGACATCATACTTCATTCTATGCAGTCTTTTAATGTTGATGAATTGATTGCGTACCTGAAAAGATCAATAAAATGTGTTAAAAAATGGCAGTTGAAGGTATTTTTAAAAGATTTAAAAAATGACAAATTTTGTGAGCATTTTTCTTGTATGCAGTTTTTCCCATATATCTACCTGGCCTACGTTGCGCCTTGCAATATAAAGTCAATTTTTTTGTTTGAAAGATGAGAGTCATAGCTAGTATCTAATGTTTGGCTTTTTTGAAAGTAAGCCTTTGTTGCATAAGAGAAATTACTTTTATTATCAAAATATAAGTCTGTTTTTGTAACGTTTCATCTTTTTTCGGAGTGTTTTGACTTGAAATTGGTCTAAAAAAGTAAACATAGAGGGAAATGATAAAAAGGGAAACATGAGATATTAGATTCATATGTTCTCCTTCAAACCAGCGAAAAATAATTTGTCTATTTCATAAGACTAATGAATGGTAGTGGCGCCACGCTATTGTCAAAAATCGACGCTAAAGTTATTAGATCTCTTCAAGATTACGAGGAATGATGCTGAAATTTTTCTGAACGCAAGACTAAGTACCTCGACCATTTTAATATAAACACAGAAAATACGAAAATTTCACCATTTTATATCTAATGTAACTGTGATATGCAATAACTAGAAAAGTCGATTTTTTCATGTAAATCTTTTATAAAGTTGCTATAAAGTCGTAATACAAGATAGAATATCAATAGAATTTTATGGGAACTGGCGAAGTAGAGTCACATCTATTATTGATAGTGGTGCTATATCTGTTATTAATGAAGATGGTGATGACAATAATGGAGCTACACCTCAACCCTATCTGACACCTTTAGGTACGGTCTGTAGTAGACGTTCCTGTGTTATCTCTATTTGGCATCCCTACGGCAACCCTATTTGGCACCATCGTAATCACAGCAGTGCCATTATTCAACCTTATATTTGGCCTTCTCGCCACTTTGTAGCGCTTACATATATGAATAGATTAAAGAAAAAAAGTAAGCCCATGGTTAGACATGTTATATAATGTGTACTTTCACTATAGAAGTCAACGCCATTTTTCTGTGAAGGAGATATACTGTAGTAATCATAAGATGATATTGTTCAAGCATAAAAAACTTTTCACACATGACAAGCGAATAAGAAAAAACGTTCTATGAAGAAAATTTTTCATTTTCAATCCTGAAATGATGAATATGTAGAGCGGAAATGGTTCGTCTGCTTGTTTACATTCTAATTTGGTCAATTTTTTTGTCCAATAGAAAGATACTTTTTGCAGAATCCAGCATGTATCCATATTCGTAGCGCTAGATCCTGCTTTTCGAAGTCGAGGAACTCAAAGTCGAGATTAGAATTGAGAAATTTCGTGATTGATACTCTGGGACGTAAGATGGATAGGAAGATGTTTGCATAGTATTTGAAATGGATATGATTTCTGGCATTGACGTATAATGCTGAAATCGAAACTTCGGAAAGGGAATTGCTTCGTAGTAAGGACGCGATGTTATTCTTGTTGTATATGGCAGTAGAGAAGTAGATTGTAATAGTCAAGAAATTATGGTGAATTTTAGTAGTTAGCAGTAATCCAATTGGAGGGTAGGGTCAGGATGGTTGATGTTCAAGTATATATTGCTTTCGTTAGTGTTTGTACATCCGTGCCTTAAGTGTGAAAGAAATTTCTGTGAGTATCACTGGCAAATATGGCATGAGACGGAAATAGAAGTTGTAATGATGGAGGCCGTGATGACTGAGCAGAAAAGTAATTTTTTTTAAGGGTGAAAGAAGAAAAATTTTGAACATTTTTGGAGAGCGCGAGTTTATGTAGCAAGAAGTTTATCAAGCCTGGCCCATGATGAAAATTAGGATACAATAAACAAGTTCTTCGCAATTGAGTTGAGAAAGTACGAAGAGCTGCTGGGAAGTAAATGTAATTGGCGAGAGAATGGTCCAGAGACGTGAAAACATCGATCGAAAGACAACAACAGTGTCAGTAGATAGAAACTTGGAATTTAGTAGAAAAACATGTGTTGATAGGAGCTTTGTCCACATGGATATGGACTACCTGTGTGTGGTAATAAAGAACCTCGTGATAGTCTGCAGTAGCCCATTAATAAAGAGTTTTAGCCTTTGACATATAGTAAAATAGCATAGATATAGACACTTCCACGTAGAATATCAAGACTTAGGCAAACCGAAATAGGACAATGTCTAAGAATGACAGAGAATGGAATATACTTATCAGTGTAAAAAAAAGGTGTTTGAAGATAGGGTGGTGTCAGAAAATCAAAAGAGACGAGATATAGGTATTGAGATAGAATAATTGACATTTATACGATGGAGAGGATGAGATTGAGAGAGCATGGAAAAATTCAAATTGGTGCCGTTTTTTATTAATCTTTGAATTCTGATTTTTACCAAAGTCCATTACGAGCAAAAGCCGTGAATTTAAAAACCTAGTATTGCTCCAATCCACATTAATAACACTGTTATCGTCAAAATGTTGACTAGAAAGCAGAAATCCATCTCTCTTATTCTGCTCATGCACCGAGTTACCCCAGCACTCTCATATTCTCTAGTTAATTAGTTAATTAGTTATATGAAACTTACCTTGCACTGTAGTATGGGATAGAAAAGTGCGAAAAAATGCCACAAAACTAATACACACAAGACAGGTAAGATTAGAGATAGGAGTAATGTATTCGTTTGAGTCTATATAACGTTCGTTCTCATAAAACATTGATTCACGGTATATCATCCAATTATTATCCTTCATAATGATTTAAATGGTAATTTTCATTCCACCAATGAATCAAGATGTCATTTGTTTCATTACTATTTTTATTTAATTTTATCCTTCGCACATGACTTTACGTGTCCAGTAATTCTTTACAATTTAAATCACCTATTTCAATCTGGACTTATATAAACATGATTCGAATCTTTAACCGATATTTTTTCTGCTTTTTGCTGTACAATTTTGCGTTTCATCATTGTTTTTTGAGACCTTATTGTATCTGCATATTCTTTTTACTTCAGCATTATATTTTTAATGTTTGAATGAACAAGAGTAACTTGTACATGTTGCTTAATTAATTGTCTCTAGTTATTGCTGTTCTTGGTATCCATTCTTCAATTATTAATACTAAAATTCTGAACATATTCTAGTGTTTTGTTTTCCATTGTTTCCTAATACCAATATTACCGGGGGCATTTGCTGCCAAAAAAGTATAAAAACACGATTTTCCCACTAATGATACCTTATTGCGTGTGGGAGTGGATGGGTGTGGCTGTTGATATTACCACATGTAGATCGGGTGTGGGTACAGATGTGAGCAGGTATGGGTGTAGGTTCTTTCTATCTCCCACAGCCATCTAAAGAAACCAATATATTGATTGATATTTTAACAATATTGACTGATTCTGTTAGAAATTTTCATGTACATACAATTAGCATGACATTGCTGATGAACTGATATTAATAACTTCTTTATAAACGAAAAATATTTTTTGACCCTAAGACCTTTAGAGAAGGGATACGGGGATATGGAAAAAATTAGTTTTGCAATAAGTATGAGACATTTATAGATTCGTGTAATTTCATGTAAATATCAAACCTGGACATTTAGATTCAAAACTTGAACACGAAATAGTATAAGTAACAGACCTCTTTACTGCACCCCAATCACTTTCTTCGCGAAATCTGAAGGTCAAAAATTTTGTTCTTCGTCTATAAAGAAATTATTCATGCCAGTTCATCAGGGATTTTGTACTGATTATAGGTAAGTTTCTTGGAATTTTTTTCTCGATTTGTTAAATCACTTATTTATAGTACTCAAGTTTTCACTTAATCTATCTAACGTCTTGGACGATGTGCTGGATCGTTGTCAATGTGCTTATATAGAAAATTGCTCAAGAAATTGAGTGACAACAGTTGATTTTTGGTAGAATAGGATGCTTTTATAGGTACTCAATTATTAAAACAAAAAGGCATCAAAATCTCTTTGACATACTCCATTCTATAGAGCTATTTGCGCTGATCACCTTTATAAGAACAAGCAATTTGACTTTAACATCATTATTTTTTGATAATAGCTTTGTATATTCTATGGCTGACTATTAATCAAAGTAATTGGAGAAAAAATGGCCAAATTCTGTATTGAAATAGATCGTGCTTGATTTTGAGAGTGTCAACAAGCTAGTGGCTTGTGAATAAAAGCTTGCAACTTTCTTCAATAATCAGGAAAAAAATAGTTCATTTCGTCAAAATGTGGCGGAAACATATGTCTACTTTTTAGAAGATGAAATTCCGGACACCCTATGTATAAATTTTTGATAGGTTTCATACCTTTAGCACGAAAATATGCACCAAGATAAATTATTCAATCTAGATATCAAATGAACAAGTGACAGTTATCTTCAAAGCGAATATCTTTATTCATTCAAGTAATTAGAACATCTTTCTTTCTCCTGATGGAAGGCCTCAGGTCCGACTTACCAATCGAACTTATATTATGCCCATAAATAAGTTTCGATGAGACTACTAGAAGTCTATGGAAGTTCGTCCCCATGCAATGTCCTTCCAGAGCTACTACAATTTTACTGAATTTTCTACAGATGGTAAGGGCTTGATCAAGAAAAAAACGCACTACGAAATTCCAATCTGAAACTTTGCTCATAGACAGGTTTCGTGAACATCGGACTACTTTGAAAATTTCAGCCTAATGAAATGCCCTCTTAGGATATTTAATATCCAAAAACAATCATGTGTCACAAAGAAACTTCAGAGTGGCCAGTGTTTTCAACATTCGATATTTCAAGAACGAATCTCTTTAAGCTGACTTTACCATCGATAAAAATTTTAATAAACTTATAATATCATGTGAACCACAGTGAATGAAGACGAATCCTTATAGTTTTCTACTAGCCTCATCAGGGCTAACTTATGAGCAAAACATCATCTCAATTGACAAGTCACACTTTTGGAGTTTCTCTCATCAGTCTCAGCGATGCTCTTGTCAATAATCTATGCTAAAATACACTAATTAAATTGAGAATACTACGTTCATCTTTCTATTTGCCACAAACCCAATAAACAATTAAGTTTAATTAGTTTGTTTGTATCATAAATACGTCATACAACCAATAACGATGAACAAAAAAGAGAAGTATGCTAAATATATATTGATGCAAAAAAATTCTATTTTGTTTGTTTTGTTTGTTTGTAATAATAGTTGTGTTGATTCAATGCAAAACAACAGCAACAACAACAACAACGATGAACAAACAATAGACAGATACACACGCACACAGTTAAAAACGAACACTGAAAAAAAAAGAAAAAAACGAAGAATAAAGACAATTAAACGTATAGATTCGTTTAAAAAAAACAGAACTTGGGGAATAGAAATGAATATGAGAAAAGTAATAGTTAGGTAGGTGTTTAGTACTAATAACATCAATAGGAACAAGAAGAAGAAGAAGAAGAAGAGAATCCTATAAGATAACATTGCAAAAAATAGGAAATAGAAAAAAACCCGCAACAGACGGATACAACCAAGCAGAAGTGTAAACAAAAGAAACTTATACAGCAAAAAAAAAGAATGATAATACACCTTTTCTTAATCAATGTGATGATGACAAGGAATAATTTAACAAAAACAAATAAATGAACGATGTAAAATACAAGACAAAACACACGAAAAAAAAGAAATAAAGTGACAAAAAAACTCGAGTGGAAAAAGATAATATGTGTATTATAAATAGGTCGTCTTATTAGTAGATTTTCAAGCAAAAGAAATAAATCGTGAGTATTCGAAAGATGTTCTACCTAATTTTCTTTTTTTTTCCTTAAATATTTGGCTTATTTTAATATGAAGTTGTTTTTGATGTTGTTGGTGAATTTCCATTATGATTATTTGGACTATTACTGGCTGCTACTGGAGTCTGATTAGGATTTGAATTATTGATGTTATTAGTGTTGACATTATTAATATTAGTTCGAAGTTTTTTTAATTGAACTTTCAATCGTTTCATACCAATTTGAAAACCATTCATTTGATTAATTGCTGCTTGAGCTGATGATGGATTATCATAACTTACAAAGCCTTAAGAAAAATTCCATTGACTTTAAAATCAACAAAAAAAAAAACGTCGATAAAGATATTTCTATTTACCAAAACATTTACTACGATTTGTTGTTTTATCAACAAATACTTTAGCTGATATAATCGGTCCATAAGGTGCAAACGCTTGAGCTAAGTCTGCGTCACTGTATTCTTGTGGAAGATGATATATAAATAGATTGGCACCATCAGGACCTTATAATAAATACAATACATTATTAAAGAAAATAATTCAAACAAACCTTCAGTATGTTTGCCAGCTACTTGAGAAGTTATATATGTTGGTGACGGAAAGACAGAAAAAGAAGCTATAAAGAAAAAAAAAAGAAAGTTTTATTCGAGAGTAGTAAAATAATCTTTCAAAAACCTGAAAAATTAGTTTGAACGGAAAATGTTTTGTATTTTCACTATTATAATTTGAAACGAAAAGTTGGGATCCTTATTTATATATCAGCTTGTAGATCAGAAGCTATCCTATACTATTTGAAGTATTTTTTGTTTTTCAACAAAACATTTCAATTTTTGTTTTTTTCCTACATATTGATTTTTTTTAAAAATCGACCACCATTTTACGTTGAAAGAAATTCTTGAAAAAATGCATGTCGTAGATACAATCAATGAACAACAGTCTATATCTTGAAGAAACTTTGTTGAAGACTTGTGATTTTTTTAACGAAAACTAGTCTAGTTGAGTTCTCCTTGTGCACAAAGTTTCAGATAAAAATATCGAAACTACATCTTAGTTCAATATCACATTTGAGAGAGAAGTATCCCCTCTACAAAACGGTCGACTCTGACACAATTTTTAGCATGTTCGAAAGAAAAATCATAGGATGAAGAAAAACCTATTGGTTCACCATAATAATAAAACTAATTGTCAGGTCTTTCGAAAAACCCTTCACTACTCTCGAAAAAAACAGAAACTCATAGCTTCGGACTCGTTGGAAATTTTTTGCGACCATCTGTTATAAAACAATTTCTTAGATCTTATCATCTGTTTTGTTTTTGTAAAACCATAATTTTCAAATTGATTTACCTGGTGCTGCTACAGGTGAATTTGTAGTTGGACTTGAATGCATATTAGTTGGTAAAAGACCTTTTAATAATATGCAGTGATTATTTATATTCTGTAATCATAAGAAGTTACCTCCATTGTTTATTTGTGACATAGCAACAAGATTTTGTAAATTATGATGAGCATCTAAATCATCGAAATTACATGTAATATTAAGCTATAATCTAATACCTGCACCAGCATTTGATAATGGACTACTACTATTAGCATAGATTGATGGCATTGTAGGTGGATAAGGTCCATTACTGGGTGTGGGAGCAGATGATGTTAAACCACCGTTTTGATTATGAAGATTTGTTGCTGGGCCATTACCATTATTTGGATTTAGTCCATTACTGTTATATGCACTCGTTCCACACATAAGTGATGAAGATTCATTATTATAAGTGCCATTATTTGGATTAGGGGGAGGAGGTGGTCGAGGCGAATTCATTGTATGTTGTTGTTCTTGAATATTTAAAGATTGATTACTACTATGTTGAGAACTTATAGTCATATTTGATGATGTACCAGGTGGTGGTGGAGGTGCTAGAAGAGGTGGTTTATTACCATTTAAATTCATATTATTTGTAAACATTTGTAGAAGATTGTTTAATGCAGCAAAATTTATAGCTAAGAAAAAAGACAAGAATGTTAAAAATTAATATTCAGTCGAAAAAAAAATAAAGAATTCAATTACAAGTGCCATTATTGTTAAGAAAACCATAATTCTTTAATAATTGTTGAAGAAATACTAAATTACTTATTTCAGGTAAAAAATTATACGTGTTCATATGTTGAAGATTAGGCTAAAAACAAAAAAAAATAATGAATTTCCTAAACAGGATAATGGGAAAAATTACCAATGAATTTCCTGCAGTCATATGCTGCATAAGACCATTATTATGGGTAGTAAATTGTTGTTGAATTTTTTTTGTTTCTTTATCTTTCGGTGTATCAGCAAATTTAACGACAAGTGGAGAAGAACAACCCTAAACGAATAAAATAATTTAAAATACAACAAAACAAAAACAAAGTAATTGACCTCCATAGTTTGAGATTGATGCATTGATTTAATTGCATTTAAAGCACATTGACGTTTTTGAAAAGTAACAAAAGCACATCCTAAAAGAAATGCTTGTGCTTTCTTCAATTTAAATAAAAAACCGTCTCGGATAAGAATGATCACCCTTCATTTGAAAAGCCATTATACCGTTTTGTAGAGCAACTCGTAACGCATCACATGGCATCTAAGAAATTCCATTTTCATCAAGTTTTAATGTTCTGAGAAGCCATATATCAGTTAAGGGATATTATATTAATTGTGGATGATATGACCCAATATTATGACAAAATATATCTCCAAAGTAATTTGTATCAAATTTTGTTAAAAGTTATTTCAATAGAGTTTTGTATTATCTTCAATCGTATATATATAATAATAGCTTTCTTCGTACGTAAAACCTTAGTAATTTTTACTAGCTTCTGTAATTTTTGGCTTTTATGATATTGTAAATTGTTCGATCTGAGAAAGGAAAGACAAGCAACCCTGCAATTCTTTAAGAAGCTGTGTGTCATCAAGCTCCTTAAGTATATCGATTGATTGTCCTCTCAGTTGTTCCATGTTAAGATTAAATCACACAATCAATGCCTAGACAATATCACTTTTTCGATTCTTAAAGACAGAAAAGTATACGAATTTTGGAATAAATATTTTCTGCGTGAAAAAAGAGTTCTATCTATTAATAATAAGGTCACAATGACCTATCATTTGACATATGTGAGTTTTTTGAAAAATTTCTCAGTTTTAGATCTCTCTAGAGGAGTACAGAGATAGACTATAACAAAGATTAGCTTTTATTTTATTTTGTTTCTTACGAATTTAGATTCTCAGTAGCCACGTATGATTAGAGTACGGTGGTATATGAGATTTAATACATGTTCGATTTGTTATGAGAATTAAAAGTTTTGTATAGCCTCGTCTCCCTCCAGGGATCTGAAAGCGAAAAATTGTTTTACAATTTTTCAAAACATCCATTTATATCAAATGATAGAGCACAATGAACCGATTGGTAATCGATAGAAGTTTTTTTTTCATTCAAAAAGTATTTGTTGCAAAACTCAATTACTTTTCTTTTCTTACAAACCGAATAATTGATCTTTTTTTAGGCATTGAATTTTCTGAGAAAGTTGTACGCTTGGTCGTCTTTCCTTGCTGAGATTGAGCAATTTAAAATACTATAAAACTCAAAATTAAAGAAAGTAGTAAAAATTCTAAGGTATGGGATACGATGAAAGCTATTATTAGATATACACGATTGAAGACAAGATAAAACTCTATTGAAGTAACTTTAAACAAAAATTCAATACAAATTGATTTGGAGATCTAGTGAATTCTAATATTGGAATATGTCGTCTACAATCGATATAATATATCATTGCTCTACAAAACGGGACAGAGATCTTTTCAAATAAATGATGGTCATTCGATCCGACAGAGTCCATTTTAATTTATTTTTCTAACCTCGACTTTTGCCATTAGCATCTCGTAATACTGTACAATCTTCAATAATTCCATATGATTGGAAAAGTGCACGAATATTTTGTTCATCTAAATTTTTTGATACCATTCCAACAAATAATTTTCTTTCTAGAAAATAAACAAAAATAAAATTACTATTATTCAATCTTTCAGTTGGGTTTGCTTTTTTTTTAATACCATTTCGATTTTCTGTATCAGCTGGTTTCATTTGTATTGGATGATGACTACCGTTTAATGTACGTAAATTATGTAAAGCATTTTGTGCATCTAATGCTGATTTTCGAGAATAAAATGTAACAAAACAACAACCTTTTGATTCACCAGTTTGTTTGTCACGTAAAACATTTAATTGAAAGACAGGACCAAACTGTTCAAACATTTCACGTAATTCTGATTCATGCATATTACGTGGAATTTGACCACAAAACATCTTAATAGCATCTGGATCGGGTTCATGTTTATCAATACTTATTGTTGATATAGCAGCCGATGATGGTGGTGATGATAATGTTGTTAAACTTCCTTGAGTATTCATTAGTATTTATTAATAATTTGTTGAAAAAAATACATTGATGAACAAGACGAGACGATATTACGAATAAAAGACGTTAACGAATATTGACGAACAACGACGACGACCATCTCAAGAGGACAAGACGACGAACGAGAACGAGGAGACAACTAGAAAAGCAAAAAAGAACATCTTATACATATTTAATAGATAAATAAATAAATCAGTAATCCTATTAAAAATATTTCTTTTCTCAAATCATATTAAATATGTAAAGAAATAAAATACAAATATTTTTCGATTATATTGTCATATATAGGAGAACAAATGAATCTTATAACCAACCAAATGATTTTATGTTTACTCTGTTTACAAACCTTGTTATTATACATGAAATCAAAATATCATTCGATGGACGGAAAGCTCGTCGTTAAGAGAAACTTCATAGATGTCGTTATGAATCGCGAATAGACAAAAGAGGTATGAATATAGATTTTTTAATGAAGTTATTTTTAGATGGGCGTTATTTTTCTTTAAATAAAGGCACTTTGTTTTTTTTTAATTGCTTGGGTTTCGACAATTGAAGGTATTCTCAAGAGTCTTGCAAAAGATTGCTTTCCATAAATAGTAGATTGACTTCATTCAAAAAAAATTATTTTTCTAGTTAGATTACGCCTACTAATCATCTAATTTTTGCTTGACTGATATTTTGGAGTATTCCAAAAAGAAAAAAGAAGAAAATATAATAAAAGTGAATATAACCTTTTATAAATTCACAAACATCAACACTACCTACTCATTATAACTAAAGTTTATTAATTAATAGCAGAAATTGATAGTTTACTCGAGAAGAATAAATCTTTCTAAGTATTGAGTCTTGACAATTTATTAAAATGATGACATTTACAAATTAAAGAACCATACATTAACATATTTATTATATTGTTTTTTTGTGACAAAGATTTCTCTTTAGAGAACAAAAAAATTATTAAACGAAAACTGAATAGCGGTTTTGGAGTAGTTTTTAGTTGCCACAGTTTGTGTCGTGGAACTTTTAAAAATAAAAAAGTTGAAAAATCTATTATGCAAGATAGAACAAGAAAGTAAATAGAGCACGCTTTGTACAGCAAATATTGCTCTACAAAGATAAGCCATTAAAAACTGTTTTGCACTTTGGATTTGACATGTTTCGATCGAATTATAAAATTGACTGAAATAGTATTCTATACAACCACTATTTTGAACCTTTTGAGATAATCTGACGATATCTGTCCAAATCTTATTTTAGCAGTAAATTGTAGACACTTTTTTGAAAAGAGTGAAAGTTTCCGATTCTGACTCTAATCAATTGTCTGTTAATGGCCGAATTATCAATGTCAGTCTTTTTCTCACTTACATAATTGTGAGTGAGCTAGAGTTTTATTTTAACAATATTTTAGAAGTCAAAGAGAAATTAAAACTATTATCTTAAAGCACCTACATATTTACGTTACTCAATGAAACATTTGAGAATAGTTAACAATAACAAGATGATATAGAGTAATCTAACATGTTCGTTTCCATAATTATTAAAGTTTTCGTAGAGCTACGAATGGCTTGCTATGAAAAAAATGCATCGATCATTTTAAAATATATCAAATCAATGATTAAAAAGTAAGAATCAAAGATCGACATTAGAAATCGAAACCGAATCAAATCAACATGTTCGGTTCCTAATTACTTCTTTTTTTATTATATAGCGACGTAGTTTCATGAAGGTTTAATTGATTGATTTGCATAAAAAATGATCGCTAATAAACTGTGTCAGTTATCTCTTCAGTTTCTTGGTTTATTACTCTATAGTGTGTTTATGTTAGTAGTCTTACCGTTCAGAAGATTACCAGGGACAAGTTACAAAGCAGGGCTGTTACGCGTGCAAAGTTTTTATCAATATATTTCAAGGTACAGAGCTTGAGTGCTTTCATTTGAAAGAGACTTCTTATCAATGCGAATGAGGAAAAGAATTTGCTTAGCTTTTATTCTATTTCATTTTCTTGATCGTGAAAACTTCAAAAATCTGCCATTTCTAGACACGGCTTTGTAGAAAACATGGGGTATATCTAGCATTGACGATTAATTTAAAAATTCCTTGTCCTCATCTGAAGGATTGCACATATATATATATATATTGATTAAAAAACAGTTCTCTAGAATGAAATATATTCAGAACAGATTTATCTACAATTGGATCATTACTGAAAAAATCAGTATTTAGAAAAATCTCAAAGAGTTTTTTTATGCAACCTTCCTATTATTACTTAAAGTAACAGTGAAGTATAAACATATAACATGCCAGTCGAAGCATATGTCTACATGTATTAGATTGCTCTTGTACGAGATACATCACAATAGATGATGCTACCTACCATTGCCTTGCTATTTGTTGTACCATTCAACAACATAATAAAGACAGAAGAATAACAAATTAATTTCGTTAATCTGCTTATTGCCTTAAAGTTTTTTTTTAAACGTTGACAATGATGATTAATTTTTACTAGTAACTCTTAAGAAGGATGGTTTTTTATTTTATATAAAACATCTACTTGGAGGAGGTAGATGTGACTGAAGCGAATATCCACACCCAAGCCCTTATGTCATTGCAGATTTCAAAGGTGTGTCTTTAAAATGTGTAAGATTTGACTACCTAAGAAAATGCTTTTGTTTATTTTACAAATCGAACCCTAGAAAAAAATTTTACCAGTTGGTCTAGACATCACTATTTATTCTGATAGTTTCAAAGATCATTCATAAAACCATTGACGAAAATCAAATGTTTAAAGAGGGAGCTCATAAGTAATCATGACTTTTGAAACAATCCATATACTTGAATCTTATGTATTGGTAACATAAGATCATCTGTTGACAGATAAATGAAGTTTTCCTACATATATCAAATGTTTGTTTTTTTGTTACAAAGATTTTCATTTCAATAAACTGCCACACAAGCTAATAACTCCATACATTTAAACACAAAAAAACCTTTTGAAAGTTTCAAACAGAAGAAACAGATCAAAAAAAATTCTATTTACAAATAAATTAATGAATATATATATATATAAAAGAATGAAAATTATACACATGGCATGGTTGAAACATCATCATCGTCATCATCATTATTATACAAATCACATACACCTTCGGAATCATCCATCACATCGTCATAATCATCTGGTTGAGCCATTTCGCCTAACACAATGAATGGTTCTGTAGATACTAAAATAGAATTCTAATTATAGAAAATTTTAATAAATTTAATCCTTAATCATACCTATAGAAAAAGGTGATTCTTCAGAAGAATTCTACAAAATAACAAAAATTTTACAATAAAATCTAAATTAAATTACCAACCTGTATTTTGTCATCTGTTGGATTTGATAGTATTTGTGAATTACGATTTAATAATTTCAAATTCACTGGATAATGACGACTTTGAAAATGAAATTGATGAGATATTTTTTCACCATTCTAGAACATAAGAATTTTGAATAATATATATTTTTTGCTTTCAATATGTTTTCTGTTACTTGTATTTCATTCATTTTCATCAGTGTTCCATTTACTCCTTCAGCTATAACAACCACATCATCATTCATAACTTGACATAAATCATCTTGTGTTAAATATAACACACTAAATATACAAAATAAAAATTATGAATTTTATGAATTTATTTTTTAATCTTTATAAATTTACTCTTTTAAAGTTATATCATCGAATGTATTGGCAATACTGCGTTCAATTAAACGAAGTTTTTCTGTCCAAAATGTTGATTCATCTTCAAGTTCTTGTAATTGAGCTTGAGCTCGATGAAGACGTTCATATGCTTCGACTGTATTATCACCAGATATGGCACCTCTTCAATAGAAAATAGATAGAAAAATAATTTTTTTTAAACAAAACATCTCTATTCAACATACTTCCATTTGATTGTATTTTTTGATTGTTTTTCAATTAGACCAATACCTTCAAGAACATTTGTTATATCATATATTCGTCGTTTTTGTTTTGTAGCAAGGCAATCTGCGACCTATAATTATAAAATTAAAAATAATTTATATTAACATTAAATTAATTGATGTTTATAAATAAGTATCAGTTAGACTTGCCAATTGAAAATTCGTGTGATTTTGATTAAAAAAACAACGAATCTTTCGACATCAAAATAAGACATTCAATGAAACCGTCGATGAAAATATTAATCATTTTCATTGAGTTGCTACATAAGTAGCATTTTTTGTCTTCGTCTATATCAATATGTTCGAACAATTAGATAAGTACAAACGTTTCATTGTTGAGCAAGAAGTTGCTAGAATATGATAAGAATTTGTTCTATCTGTTAGAAGAATCTAAAAAAACTCTACATATGGAAACATTAATTAATCAAAGTTTCCATATGTAGGTTTTCAAGCTAAATCTAATGAAAACCTTGCCAAGTTTTTCGAACAACAGGAATGGTCAGTAACGTTGGCATCATATTAGAAATTGAGCCGATTTTTATCAACGATAAAATAAAACGAGCTTTTTAAAGTTGTTCTAATTTTTATTGCTGAAATAGAACTTTATATTTTTTTAAGACATATAGTCTTGTAGAACTCGGCGAGCTCTATCAACTCATATGAGAAACCAAAACAAGAATTTTCTATATTTTTGAAGTACTGGCATCTAACATAAAAATAGATCATATAAAATACACATAATCGATAAAAGCAAGATCGAATCTAAATGTTATTATCTAAAGAAAATAAACTTACATGTTTTAAATCCATAACACCAGTTTTTGATTGTCTCAAAAGTGACATAAAACGACGTGTTAAAGTTCCGAGACTTTTTTCTTGACGTGAATAACCAAATCGTCTTTTTGTTGGTGTACCTCCAGTCGAACTACTACTAGTAACTGCAGCTGTATTCGAACCCGAATCATCATCGTCACAATCAGTTATAAGGAATGGACATGATGTAGAACTTGTGGTTATTGGTTTCGATGAAGATGTTCCAGTTGGATGCTGTTGTTGAGCCATAAACAAATAAATTCAACGATATGACAAAAGCAAAAGATTTGATGAAAACTTTTATTTTTTCTTTTAACGAAAATCGAATTCTACGCCATGATTATTAATCCGCTTTTCTTATCTGGAAAATACCAATCAAATGTAATGAAATCATAGAACATCTATGCATTTTGTTATTTCATCAATCGTGAGGTTCAATGTAAAAGAATGATTGGATAGAATACTTGTACGATTGAAGATTAACATCAAGCGACAAAAAAAAACAGAACAACAAACCAGATCACATATAAAGGTGTGTCTGTGAAAACAAAATAGCGATGTCGTCGATTGCGAGTAGTGTATCGGAAAACACGATCAAACTCGATTATCTTGGCTCGCCCGTATCTCATAATGTTCGACCATATTCAACAATACATAGTGATATTGATACGAAATCTGTTGGTTCAAAATCAGTTGGTTCACGTACTTCAAAATTAACTTATAGTGGTAAAAAAAAAATGGAAATAATATATTGATTATTTTTTTTTTTAATTTATTTAGAATATCCACAAGTAAGACCAACTAATCCACTTTATTCGAGTACATTTACAATTCGAACATTTTCATCGGGTATTTCAAATGCATCAAGCACAGCAACAGTTGTTGAACGTCGAAAAAAATTTGATCCACAATTACCAAAACGTCCGAATGATTGGCGTTGGTTTGCTGTTCTTTGTATTTTTCTTTTTCCACCAACAGGTAAAATGCAAATTTTGAATAAATTGATACCAAATGGTTTTATTTTTTATTATTGTTTAGGTATCATGGCATTTTGTTTAGCTCGTAAAGCACAAATTAAATGTAAAGATGGTTTTCTTGATGAATCACGTAAATTAAATAAACGTGCACTAGCTTTGTGCATTATAAGTGTGATTTGTGGCGTTGCTCTTATACTTGGTTTCTTCTATGCAATGGATTCGTGGCCACGCTCAAATGGTTAGATATTAAACAATATAATAATTTTTCTTTTCCAATAATCCTTCTATATTGGTTATGGGTTCTTATGTTTTGCTTGTCGTCAGATACATCTGTCTATTTGATTTGCTCAAGAATGATAAGATTCTTTTTTTTAAATACAGATCACTTTTTTTTCGTCCTTTTACAATTTATGTATGATAAATTTTGTACATTTCTTTTTTTTTCTGTTTATATTATTTAGTGTTTGGAGATCAGATCTGAATTTCTTTTGTTTTTTAATTGTTTAATTATTATTTCGAATAGATAGATTAGCCATTTCTGTATTTTTGAGTGTAGATATACTAACAAACATACGGAATATTTTTTTGTGTCTATCGTTTTTAAAACGAAAAAGTTATATGGTACAAGTGTCGTTCTTTTTAGAATAAATAAATATCTTAGTGTTATGTATGGTTATCTCCATTGAAGTAAACAAAAATCATTAGTGTTATAAATTTATAGTAGTGGACAAAAGTTTCCCCTCCTGCCAGGTCTCAGCTATACTATTGGTACTAGAGGTGAAGGCCGTCGGGTTCAAAATTTTCCGATTTGCGTCAGGAACTAATTCAACGATCTCTGGTCTCTGTTTTTACTATCAAACTACGATTATTAAGTATTATTGCTAGAGTTTTTTATTCTATATATTGAAAGATCAAACATGTGGTAATATTTCTTAAGATGCGAAGGTAAGAAAAATATTTTCACTTTACTTGATTGAGTTACGGTAAGTATATTTATTGTTTAGTTAATTCTACGATTTGTTGAACAAATATTAATTAACTGACAAAATAATAATCCATCATCATCAAAGAAATTTAGATATCTGTAACATGTTTTATCATGAAGAATTGTTTTGTATGACGAAACGATATTAAATTTTGCTCATCGAATGTTCCTTATAATCATATTCTCTTGTAATTTTATTTATTTCCATGAATAACATAACCGAAATATCATTCTATTATTCCATAGCTTTGATTTTTTAAAATATGATTTGGAATAATAGAAAAGAATTAAGTCAATCTTGTTGCCTTCAAATTTCAATTTCGTTTTAGGTCATTGACAAGCATATTGATTGATAAACATGATAACATGTAAAAGATTATTGAGAGAAGATAATGATTCAAACTTAATATGTAATCGTTTATCTATTTTAGAATCATGTCATCGACATTGCTTCGTTCATGATGCTTAAATCATTGGATGATTAATATAGAAGATACAACTTTTTTCTATCAATTGATAGATTTGTAATTCTCTGTATTACTAAAGATGATATAATATATTAATTTAATTTTAAAGTGATATTTTAAAAAGGATTTATTCTTAGCGAGGAAATTATTCCAGTTAACGCCCGTCGTTTGCGCTTATATTAGATCTATAGATAAATTTCAGTGAGAGTAGCAAAAGCATAAAAGAATCGTTCTCATAGACCTTTGGTCCCGAGTTAAGGTTGGTTTACTAGATTTTCCACTCATTTGAAGTTAGGTATGGAAAAAAAATCGAGGAGTTTCGCTCTAAACATTTAGTTATACATAGGTCCAATGACTCGTAGAATTACCAGAAACGTTCTTCGTCCAGATATTGAATTTTCAAACATAGCACTTTGTTACAAAAAGAAGAGTTTACTTGAAAACTGAAAAACTTGATGAAGGATTATTTTTTTCAGCTGAAACTTTCAGGATATTCTAAGAGTCAATATACACATCTATGAGCAAAATTCTGGATAGAAACTTCATGATTTAGTTTTTCCGGAACTACCTACAGACGGATCAAAAACTCACTAAACCGATCACAACTCGGATCAAAGATACACGAGGACGGGTCTTAACCTTAGGCAAAAAAGTTTCGTATCTGACGTTAGTAATCGTTTACAGAACTAAAAACAAAATGTGCTACCGATGACCACTGTGAAATGCAGTGCATGTAAAAAATAATTGTGAATATATATTGCTCATTGTTGTGGAAAAATCTACACTGCAGCGTATCACAATATAAATGGTGACACTTTCAATGAAGATGTAAACTTCATATCTCAACAAGAAAGTCACAGAAACTCAAACCCTTTCTAGGATTTTTCTGGTCTCACTAAGACCTACATATGGGCAAAATATCACGTCTAAAGCGAAGCTTCATCTGAGGAAGTTCTCTCGTGAGACCTGATTTTGGGTCCAATATGAGCTCAAACGCCGCGTGTCATTGAGATAGTTATCTTCTTAAGTGAAATTAGATAATGATTAATATTTATAAACATCTATATGAATCTGCTTTATAATATAGATAATAAGGAACAAACATCATTACACAGTTGAATATATCATTCTTCCTGCAGTTGAATTTAAGCTTTTACGATAGCACACAAATCACGAAGAAATATTGTTTCGTTAATACGAAATTAACTATGATGAACTACACGCTAAACAAACAATTTATTATGAATTGAATATCAATAATATGAATCTTATTATCATATAATTTTATTTAAAAATATGACTAATCGATTAATAACATACCTATAGACATGACTTTCTTCATTGTTGTTCGAAAGCATGAAAAATCGATCTTGCTTCTTTTTTGTTTGACGCCTACCAGTTCTTGATCATATTAAACTGTCATGTGTAATACCATATGAGATGGTGAGGTTTAACATTTAATGACAATTTCAATGTTAGTTACAATAATATTTTACGTCATTAAATGATCATACGTGTAGTTTTACGTGTAACAAACTTGAACAGATCATTGTATGGATATTGTCTCGACTAAAATTATTCATAGCAATACTATGGCACATTGCATGAGTTTCAATTCTTTCGTAGAAAAATATCTCAGTGAGTCACCGATGTATTAAATATACATATAATCACATGTATATAAAAAAATGAAAGCACTCAGGAAGTAAATGCTCAACTTCCAGACCACAACGTTTCACATTTTCTATTTAAGGTAAGTTAATTTTTATTCTTAGATTAAAGGGATCTCTCTCCCTCGTCGGAATTACTCGGGAAAGGCTGAACAAAAACTGATGAGACTTTCAAGCCAGATAGATCTTGATAAGTGAAGTAAAAGTTGTCATAGGCCAATACGTCCCAAATGCTTTCTTCAGGGAGCTTTGAGGTTGAAAAGACTATAAATCCTTTCAACCACAAAATTCTATACTTCATTGTCTTGAACTGCAATCTTTTTTTAACGATAACTAGGATCAAATCTGATTGTGTGTTTCTTCTCCTTTTAAATATATCATTCCTAGAGCTCAGGAGAAACAATACCTGAAACACCGTCAAAAAACGTGTTTTTTTTTCAATGATACTATTCTTTTAAAAGCTGATCAATTTTGTAGGAGCAAAATTTTGAAAAAAAAAGATATGAACTCCACTTTGATCAAAGTACTCATAAAAAAATTTTCAATCTTATCAAATGTCCCTTGCGGAAGAAAATGGGAAAAACTTCGTACTTTTTTATTGAAAACCTGATTTTGAAAAAAACGCAAAACAAACTTTCCCTGTACATATTAAAACTATGTTTCTCTAACTAAAGTAATTGAAAACTGGTCGTGTTCAACAGTATTAGAAGTCTATGACTCATGTCATCAACAACTTTAGACGTAATAATTAGGTGGATTTTGCATACAAAGAATAATCACAGCTCGAGTTTTTTGGTGAAAAATTTTGAGAATCCAGTTTAATAAAAGTAGTAACTAACAACAAAGAACCCTCATTTATATGACATTTGGTGGAGAAAACTTCGAAGCTATATTAGTTATGAAAAACTAAAAATCGCAAAAAGTTTTGATTTTAATATCCAGAAAGGGGGAGGGGGAGGGGAAGGGTTGGGCCTCTAATCAACTATTGAAAATTTCTATCAATAACACTTCAGTCAATGGATTCATAAGGCGATTTTATTTCGATTAAAGCAAAAGATAAATATAAAGATAATCAATGATTTAAAGAAGGTTTTCATCAATAAGTATGAATAATAAATTGTTCAAATAAAAACTCTTCGGCAAATGAACAGATAACTAAATAAATTTTTCATTATTTTGGAAGTGTTTTGATATTTCCTAAAATAAGTTTCATTCGGTGTTCATAGAGTTCATCCAATTAAACTCAGAATAAGAACATAGATTAGTTTATTGGCAGTCAACAATATAACAGACAAGAAAAATATTTTGAGCTTAACAGATTAAATATTTCTTGTAATGATTTTGATCAAATAAAATAAAAACAGAACAAAGAAAATTAGAAATGTGACAATATTCAAAATAATAATTAAATATCTAATGAGAAACATTTATTTCAATACATATAATTACCAACTTTAATCTCCTGAATGTTATTATCTTACTATAACTAAACAATTCTTCATGGATGCCAATAACAGTATATCCAGCTATTCCTATAATATCGAATCATTTAACTGTATTGAGGTTAATTGAAGTGAGTGATTTAATCGATTATTTAAATAGATCTAAATACCATACTTTATTAGAAATTGATGAAATGATGTCAACAACGAATGACACAGTAAGTAAATATTACTTCTAAGTGGAATATTGATTTGTTTCGTTTTTTTGTGCAGTTACCGTGTGAACCATTACTTGATATATCAAATGAAAACATGATAAACACCAATGGAAGTGTTACCGATAGCAAAAGATGATAAATATTAAAATTGTATTTTGATTGTAAAACTGATCAAAATTTAAAACAAATAATGAGGTCAAATATTTACAAAGAGTGACTGTGATATGAACAAAGTTAATTGTACCATATTGATACAATATAAATACAAGAAAAAAAATCTAAAACTAAAAAAAAAAACAAAATTGGATATTCTTCATAATATTCATGAATGCAGTACTAAGCAAATAGAATCTAGAATTTATTTTCAAAATTGTGGTTGTATTGAAGAAAAGAAAAAAAAACGATTCATGTAAAGTCAACTCGCGAAACACAACGAGAAAAAAATCTTTCTATTTATCTCATTTTTTTTATGAAATAGATGGTATTTTGTTTGCCTTTCGATAGATCAAGGTAAATATTTGTTTTTCGAATGATAAGAGTGATGGATTGATACACATATAAGCATTATTAGGACTTCGTATATTGGATAGATTTTTTCATCATCAATATCGTTCTTCAAATGTAGTCTATTGTCTGCTTTAGTATTATCACCTGCTTCTTGATATTGATTTGCTTGATTTCCACTTACAACTAAATTTGGATTATCATTATTAAGATATGCAGCAGACGGTATTTGATTCGCTTTTGTACCGGCATTGCCAAAGGCGGTTGATATAAGCATGCTGATGAAGTACAGAACACTTAAATACTTCATAATTTGATTTATATGATACAAAGAGCAGACGGCGACAGATCAGTTAAGCAGAAAATTTCGAAGAAAAATACATATTAAGTTATGCATCTTCTCTATTTATACATTTGTTTCTATGTAATAGTTATCACATAAAATCAAATAATAGATATTCTCATTGATAATTGATCATTGTCTTTTCTCTTGTGTTCTTTTTTTTTCTATTGAGACAAGAATACATCCCGTGTTAATGAAAAGAAATACTTTCATATTTAACACAACTTATACAAATATAAAATGACAATTATTACACATCATCGCCATGCTGCAATGATTAAAAATATTCGCTTTAAATCATTATTTGAAGACTAGCAAAATGAAAAAAAAAACACACGAACGAAATAAACTTTATCCAGATTCATCACTCTTTATTACAAAGAGTATTTTTTTCATTCTCTCGTTTTCGTCATGTTGACGCTTTTTAACGATGTAAAGTATGTGTGTGTTTATGGGAGAGAGTAAGAAAAATATTTTATATTCGTGTCATGTTTTTTTTAAAACAAGGAAGTAGAGGAAAGAAAAGCGACGAAATACCGTTTCTTGAATGTTCCAAGTATTGTTGCCTATCGATACGAGAAGTAAAATACGTAACATGTAAAAAAAACGAATCAGTTCATAATAATCTTCAAAATATTTGTAAATCATAATGAATCGAATAGTCTTTCACGAATACTAAAAGTTTGAAGCACGTTTCTGTCAGAATAACAAAAAGATAATACATTTTTCTTTTGTCATATTATCTATATCAATGAAACAATTTTTTGATATATTGTCTAATTTGGAAGTACGGTAAGTATTTCATATAATATATTTCTTAAATGTTTTAATTCTGTTTGTAATTTACAGTTGTGTTCAACCTTCTCCGCCTGCATCAAATGATTGTACTCCAACTGCTTTATTTCAATTTTTAGCTAGGGGCACAAGTGAATTTCGTGTTCAGGCAAATAAAATAGATTATTCCTTAATATGAAAATTTCATATTGTTCATTTAGGTTGATGCTAATTGTCGCTTACAGTTTGCAGCATTATATAAACATAATGGCAGACGCTACCCGCATCCTTATACTCTTCGACAAAAAGATAATCTTTTAGTACATAATACAGTAGCCATTGAACATTATCAACAAGCCACGTACGGCTTATTTTTTAAAAATAGATATGAATAATAAATAAATATTTATATGATTCTAGTTATAATATTTCACTTTATCTTGAACTTAAACGTTTACGAGACTTTGATATTGATGATTTGAAACGATATTATGAAGCCATCGATAAAAATGTTGATACTAATGAAGAACTTCATGGTAATTAAAACTGTAACTTAATTATTTTTGAAATAATTAAATTTAGATTTTCATGATGTTTATCTCATCTTAAATTATGGAATCAATGGACAATCGACTCAATTTCAATGTAATAATGGTCAACCAATTGTATGTTTGATTTTTGAATTTATTTTTCTATTTACTAACTTTTCTATTATCTCAAGCATTTACCCCAATTTATTTCAAATCCATGGACAAGTGAGAACACTTTAACTCGTTTTAGGTATACAACTTCTTATACATTAAATGAACGCTAGTCATATATATATATTGATTATTCTTAGATACGAGGCTGAGAATCGGGATGGTACATTTCCATGTGAAATGAAGGTAAGTGTTACTTAAATTATCCAATATTTATTCATATATTTGTATTCATTAATATAGTTGCGTTATGGAAATATTGGTAATTTAGATTCATATAAAATTATTCTTTGTTTAACGACTAATACAATACCAGCGCGGATGGATAATCATCCGATTCGATGGATTTGTAAAGTAAATAATGCAATATATTTCTGGCGAAAAATTGAATAGAAATAGCTTGTTTTCTTCATCTATTTAGCTTAGGCCGAGAGTGTTAAGAAAAAATGGATCATCAAAACGACATGTAGGTAGAGAAACATCATATTGTTTGAATCATCAATCGGGTATTGTTATTGCTCGTGTTTTTGGACCTGACCTAAAATTCACGTAAATTTTATTGATTTCAATTTTGATTTTGATAAAAATTTTTATTCAATTAATAGTCCTCACAGGTTGCGTCCAATCGATGATCTGAATTATGTAAGGTCTCATTCTGAACCCCCAGGCTTTACAGCTGCATTAGAAAATTGGTAAATGTTACCTTATTTTATTACTTAATCAATGATGTAGTTCTCGAATTTCTAGTGATAATACAGATAATAGTACATTTGCTGTCGCCGTAATCAAAGAAATAGATTATCCAGTATATATGAAAAATCGTAGAAAAGATAAAACTATTTTACAATTTTTACCATTCAATGAATTACAAGATGTTGATAGTAATTTAGAGAATGATAATAAAGAAATAACTAAACGTCTCAAAGTTCATAGTAAGAAATATATAAAGAATTTTTGTCTTTTGAATATATATTTCTTTTATTTCAACAGAGGATCGATGTAATAAACAGTTAATTCTATGGAATGAAAATGAAACGGGAACATATAGTCAAGCTCATGTTCGACTTTATGTTGCTGCTTATGATGAAAATAATACTCTACTAACAGAAGCATTAAATCCGCCAATACGAAATAGCAAAGTATTCGAGCAGTTACGCATTATTAGAATAGTACAACCTAAAAATGACTTAAATGCAAAGGACACAACATATGTCTATTGTAATTATGATTACAATCAATCAAAATTAGAATATAATTCATGTCCATATAACTTTGAATTGTTTTTTGCATCATCATCAAATACATTGAATCAAAATCAAGTCGTACAATCATTCGACAAACCGCAGTTATGCGTAGGAGCTTCTTATGTTCCTGATTGCCCAGTAAGTATTTTAGATAGATTGGAGTGTTTGCAAAAAATAACTATTCACTGGTTAATTCCGATACAATTATTTTTATCTGGACCTACTATTCATCTCATAGTATAATGTTCTTTACTGCTCTTTAAATAAATTTTGAAAGGAACATCATAGAGACTTGTGGTTTTCATCATTCAAAAAAAGAAGACTCAAGGACTATCAAAAGTATATCGAAATTTGATTGGTTAACAACTACTGGTATTCACAGCTTTTTCAACTTGAGAGTAATAAGACTTTTCCTGAAACTTCTGATTTCAGCCGAATGATCAATGATAAATCGGAAAAGCAGCTAGACAGAGGTAATTCACCTCTCTGAGTCGGATGGTGTGATTTGTTTTTAGGTTCGAGATGCTCTGGCATTTTTATCTCAATATTTCTGAAATTTCACAATGAGTCTCCATGTAGCGAAGGAGTCAACATTTCGGAAATATTGAGATAACAGAATCAGATCATTTCGAACCTCAAAACAAATAAGACTATTCGACTCAGCAGGGTGAATGACCTCTGTCTAGCTGTTTTTTCGAGTTATCACAAGTCAATTAGTTGAAATCGGAGTGTCAAGAAAAAGTCTGTTGGGTGTTGAACAGCACAAACAAGAAATGTGGGTTTTGCGTAGATCGAAAGAGAAATAACTTTATAACATTGTTTTCGCAAATCTTCACAAAGAACTCACCTGATGGGTCAATTGTTAGCCAATCGAATTTCTATATACTTCGATGGTCCCGGGTCCACTCTTTTGAATAGTGGAAACTGTAGATCTCTACGATGTTCCTATCAAAAGTTATTAAAAAAACAGTGAGGTGTATTATATTTTGAAATGAATAGCAATTGCTCTGCATTGAAAGGAGATAAATCTCGAACGAGGCTTTCTTCAGGAGTGATTTCTTTGATACAGGCAGAAATTTAATCATATGTTTCTAAACAAGAAAAGAATCAAGCGCTTTATTTACATACTCAGTGATCCTATTATCTATTTTATTAAAAATTTTAAGAAATATTTGAACTTTGGTTTTTCTGTTTACAGAACCTTCTACAGATTCAAGTTCCAGACGATAATAAATATCATGAACATCGAGTATATATTCGTCTTCGACATGCACAATCTAAAGATTATAATCCAAGTGATATAGCGCTAACTAATGGCGAACCTTGGACATATCATGCACATCCAACATCCGTTATGGACAGTTAGTTTAATTTGATTCTATTTCTAAGATTTTATCATCATTTTTTTTTATTATAACAGCTATTCTCCCTGGTTTTAACTCAGGCAATGACCAACGGGTATGAAAAAAAAACAAAAACTATAACGAATAAAGTAGGATCAATGATGGTTTCAATATTTCCTATGATATTTTTAAAACATCACAGACGATCAGTCGAATATATAAAATTTTGTAATTGAGATTTTTTCCCAAAAACTACTAATACCTACTTTGTAATGCTTAAAGTAATGCTGATTTTAACATTTCTTCATCTCCATCCTTCATTCAAGAATTTTCTTTTCAAATGGAATGATCCAACTGATTTGTACGCGTACGAGAGAACATCCTCCATGTCAGATTTTGTTCAATCTCACATTATATCTACGAGTAGTTTTCTGTGATGGTAAAAGACTGACTGCTTCAATGGTTTTTTTTTATTGAGAACAAGACATTTTCGACAACAGCAAGGTGCAGAATTTTATCCGGGAATGTTGCCTATAGATATAACTAAGAATCATTAAAAAGTTCTTAAAGTTCAAAAAGAAAACAAATGTGTCATTCCCGAAATACTCAACTTTCAAATAATTTTACTACTGTGTCCTTCTGTAGTAAGCAGATATTTTTTTCTAGAAATTGGGTATGGTAAGAATAGCACCGTTGTTTTCTTTGAAACTTTCAGAATTTCTTCATAATTGCAGTAGGTAACATTTCAGAATAAAATTCTGCCTTTTGGTATTTTTAAAAATGCATTATTCTCACTAAAAAAGTCGGTATAGTGTTCATAACTCTTCACCTATGGACCACGAGCCGAACTTGTTTAACCTTTTCTTAGCTTCACAGAGATCTTCTTGTAGCCATAATATAGTTGAAGATATTCTCTCGTTACTATCCAATGACCAATTAACATAAAATAAATAATTTTCATCTTCTAATTATTGTTTGAAATTGATAGAAAGTTTAAAGAGTAACTAAAAATTCCCTTGAACGTGAGAGAAACTTGATGTAACCAATATAACTGTTTTCTTTTTGTTTATGATACTCATGCATCTTAGAATTAAGCAAAATGATATTAAAAGTTCGTGAAAATAACGCGTCAGGAACTTATAGATATTAGACTAATCGCTTGTAATGTGTGTCAAAACAAACCATGAAGAATGTTTTCTATAATGCTGTTATATAATTTAGTATAGGTCATTGAAAACTTTTCTGGTGAAAAGTTTGTTTCAAAATCAACGAGAATTGAATGATATACTGTAAAATATTGACACCATTATTTATTCTATACGAAATATCATGTTTTATTTTATAATCTAGATATTTTCGTTTCATAGGAATTTATTTCAAGCGAAGATCACTCAATTTTTGAACTGGAAACACAGCTTGTTGTTAATCAAACTTCATCGTTACAAGATCCTATATTAGATTCACAAGATGTAAGATGAAATAATTGTCGAAATTTCGGTGCATGTAGACGTCAACTAGTAAAAAACTATTTTGACTGTAACTTTTTATTAAAGGAGCCTCAGTCTCTAACTGTTTCATAATCGACAAAAGAGCATTCGATTTGATAAGCCTCTATAGTCTTTGTTGAAATCTCAACGGCATACCTGAAGATCTGTTAATGTTTAAAGTGCCTGATACAGTCGATATCTAATAAAACCAAATATATTTCTTATTTATGATAACTTTACTCATTTCATGCATAATATTCCCATTCGTATGATCATTAATTTTCAAAAACATATAATTTTTTATTCTTTGTTTTTGTTTTATTCAAGAGTGATGAAGACAGCAATCATTCCGATAGATCTTTACATACACCTGATGTCGAAACACCAACATCGCGAAGATTTATTTTCCCTGATATATCTTTTCAGCATAACTATATCAAATGATTTCGTTGATCTTTATTTTTATTATACCTTTTACCACCGAAAAAAACAAGTAACAATAAGCAACAATGGTATTAAAAACAAAAACAATGTATCAATTGATTTATGATAATTTTATTTGTTTCTTCTTATCATTTGTTATATTTTGCTTTGCATTCTTTTCATAGTCCGTTCGCTTACGTTTTAATTTTTCAACCTAAGGAATGAATGAAAAAGAAAAATAGAATGAATTTAACATACTTTTTCTCTTTTGAAAACTAACCTCTTGTCGTTTCTTCTTTTGTGAAAATTTAATTTTATCATATAAACGTTTTTGTTTTTTCGGTATTGTCATTTCACGTAAACGTCTTTCTTCATTTGCTTTACGTTTAACAATATTTGATACATCGACATTTTGTACTTGACCCGATTCAACACGCATTGCTCGTTTCTATATGAAAAACAAAACATAACAATTCTCTTAGTTCTAAATGTATAAAAGGAAAAAATCATATAAGATTAATAGTAGGTCTTCAACATATGCGGTACAAACTAAACTTTGTAGTGAGAACAATAAACCTTGTTTAAATGTGTAGGTACAAAAAAAAATATTTCAGATCAAATCTTACATTAATCAGTTTATTGAATTCATTTACAATAGTATTTAAATCAATTTTACAACCACGTTCAATATAAACTAGATAGTTTCTCTTGATCTGTCGGGTATGGGCGCAGATTCTTTCAGAGTCCGGTTCCGATACAGAAGTTTAACTTTTCTCCGGACCAGGTCCACCAAACCATGAACCCGCAGCTCTCTAGTGTCGGTAGACACAGAAAAGGTCAAGGCTTACACGCACACTCCCAACATAGTAGCATCAACGTTGTATCATCAGTTTCGTCTAACATTATTGTTTCATGTGTATCCACTATAGCTGTCCTAATACATGTATTAAACTTTTCTTGTAATGGAGTTTCTAGTGTTTTTATGAAATAATAAGAAACTTAACTATTTTTAGACATTGAGCTAATCATAAAACTGTAAAAGAACATAAAACAGAAAAAGCTGATCGGTATCTTCTATTTATCATGGACAAAAAAAGAAGAGTAGCCTTGACGTTTCTCTAATTATATATTTTTAATTAATCGACTTTCAGCTTCATTGATAAGGACAGATCCCAAATACATGTGACACTAGTATAACCATACAGATAGAATAAAACAAATTTCTAGCAGTGTATATTAGTCTTTTCGTATTAACCATTAGAATGAGGACATATCAGAGGAAGCGATTGCTTCGCTGGTGCACCACCGCCTATAACTCTGAACGAAAAAAATCTATTAAACAGATACATACTCGTTCTTCTTTTGTGGTAGGTTTTGTTGTTGTTTCTTCTTTTTCTGTACGTTTTCGTTTAAGATTGCCATTTAAATAAGCATTGTTATCAACAAGATCGATAGAAGAAGCTTGAAAAAAACAGGATAATAAGTATTAATTTTATATCAAATAAATATTATACCTTCATTAGTTGTTGGTTCTTCAGTATCATTTTCTAATTGACGTTGACCAAATTTTTCCGGTGGTACATAATCACCTTCTTTTTCTTCAACAAATGGAGAAAGATGTGGTGGTAGTACACTTCCTAGAATTAAAAATCAATTAATAATCAACAAAATATGATTCACTAATAACCTGGAAGGTAATTATCCACTGGTAATAATTTTCGTGCATTAATTGAATCAAATACCCATTGTGGTTGGATGTAAACTCTATTTAAAAAACATCGAAATATGAACTTTTTATCTAAGATAAGCATACCGATTAACAACCATTTCATTTAATTTTGGTCGATCGACAAGTTGATGTGTAATACTTTGAGCAGATACATCATAAGTTGCACCAGGACACATTGTTTTATCCCATGAAACACTTCCACCACATGTACTTATAAATACAAAAGAAATGTTACATTACTTTATGTTATTCAGAAAAAAAAAGAATTTACCGAATAACAAATGCAAACATTTCTCGTGGAACTTCTCGACTGATAAAAAATTTACATTTTGAAAATAGTTTTTGTAAAATTTTTGTTTCTTCTTCTTTTCGACGATTTTCTTCGTCGGCTTCTGTATTACCTAACTATAAATTAAATAAAACTTAAATAAATATATAAATAAACTATCTCAACAAACAAGCTGAGCAGCTTCTTGATCAACTTCAATTTCATCAACTGGATTAATATCTGGTTTTTTCATAATTGGTAAACCAAGTGAAGCAAGAAACTGTAATAACAAAAACAAACAATCATTTTCTCCTATAGGAATTAATTCTAAAAACAAACCTCATCAGAAAATTCATCTTCCGAACAAAGTGTTGATAATGATGTTGTTGGTGTAAAACTGAGCTATAAAAAACAAGTTGTTAGGACAAATTCTGCGAGACTAAAATGTGAAACATGATTTAGCTACTCTTAGTAATCACAGAAAGATTATTTTATTGTATCTATTGTAGAACGTTTCTTCACCATATCTTTATTTAATCTTCCAAACATGCAATAGGGAACTACTATCCATTTCAAAATATAATATGTTCCACTATGTGTTGAATAACTTTTGACAGGAACACCATAGAAACCTGCAATTAACACCATTCAAAAAAGAAGATCCAAGACCATCTGAGTATATAGAGATGAGACTTATCAACAGGTAAATTCTTGGTAGAGTTTTGAAAACGATATTCTGAAGTTCTTTCCCTTCTGATTTAGACTCCTAATTAAACTAATCAATAGGAAAAATTCTTCTCGTTCGATCTACGTAAGACGGACATTCACACCCTATTCCATTCAAGAGTAATAGGACTTTTCGTGAGACCCATAATTCTAGTCAAGTGACCTGTGATCACTCGAAAAATCAGCCAAGTAAAGGTAAATCCGCTATGTCGACTCTCCCGTTACATGGAGGCCGATTGCGAAATTTTAGAAATATTAAGATAACAGAATCAGATCATTGTAAATCTAAAAATATCATCATTCGATTCAGCATAGTAAATTACCTCACCCCAGCTGCTTTTTTGGAGTATCACAGATCACTTGCCTAAAACTAAAGGTCTCAGGCAAAGTCTTGTCTCTCGAACGGAACAAGCTATGAATATCGACCTTGTGTAGATCGAAAAATAGAGATGGCTTCAGAATATCGTTTCCAGAAATCTCGACCAAGAACTGATCTGATTGATCAATTGCTGGCCAGAATAATTTCGATATACTTCGATGACTCCAGATCTTCTCTTTTAATTGGTGAAAATCGCAGGTCTCTCTATAATGCGCTCCTATCAAAAGTTATTGAAAAAACAGTGGAATACATATTTTGAAAATAATAATAGTTTATGTATAATAACGAGATACTCTTGATATACAGTCAAAGACTGTATATCAACAAGGTCTGTTACCATTCGTGATGATCTCCGACTAGCCTCTGTTGCGTCTGGGGAGACCAAATAATGTTTAAAAATAAATAAATTTTATGTACTTTAGGTGGATAAATTAAACCCATATCGGAATATAATTTAAAATTAACAAAACCAAGAAGAGTAGTATAAAATTCAAGAAATGTTGCCATAATTTTAAAGTCAACATCAGCTGGATTCTATAATGGAAAATAGATCAATCATAAGAAATTATAAAGAAGGAAAATTTATTTACTTTATGTCCAAGTTTATGAGGAATAATCCATGTAATTATTTCACCTCGAATTTCAACTTGAAAATAATAACCTTTAATTGATATGAAACACTTTTTCAATGATCCACTTGCAATAACATAATGAAGAAATTCAACTGATAAACGACGACATAAACGAAGACGTGGTTCATAAAGTTTTTTCAATAATGGAAAATTAGCAAAGAGAAATATAAGTGTTAAACAATCATCTAAATCTCTTAGAGCATCAGCAAACGATGGATATCTAAAATAAATCATGAGAATAAAATATAGAATAAACCTTTCTTCTTTTCCTACCGTTCTCGTACAACATGATCAAGTTTATAGAATGGACGATTGTTACGTAATGCTTCTTCTTTAGTTTTTTCTTTGCGTGCTTTTGCTTTTGTTAATCGTCGAAGATATGACTATAGAACAAGACAACATTGATAATTTATTGTGTCAAGCAAACTTCGTTAAGTGTCAGATGCCGATTAAACTCATATTTGATTTAGAAGAAGGATTCAGGGAAATTAGCTGAAGCCTAACTCGTGTTGTATTCAGCCAGAGTTATTATTTTTGTATAGTTGCTTTCCATCTCGAGTTTAGATGTTTATGAAAACTTCAATCATGAAATTTTCTCCATAGTATAGGTCTCAAGACTTTTCGAATGAATTTTATATGATATAAAAAGTATTCAAAGAATAACTATATTTTACAGACAACTGCAATAGAGTCCAGGAGTCTTTGATATTCAAACTCTCCAGAACAATGTATTTGTTTGAGCTGAAATATTAGAATATTTGAATAGCTTTTATATCTATCCTACGGAAAAAATTTCATTATTCAAGTTGTCATGAACACTCGATCTTGAGACTGGATGTTTTCTTCTTGGAGGCTTCTATTAATTTTACTGATTCCTATTTCTAAACGGAATATGAACTCAATCGGCGTCCAACAATTCGACGAGAAGGTCTTTGTTTACTTTCAAATGACGAAATTTATCGATGATTGGTTCATGTGTTAGGAAACGTATATCTTTTGCCAAATAATATGTTTTATTTGCTAGACGACCACGATTTGCTTTACGCCGATTCTTTGGTTCGACTGGATAAATACCTTTAAGAATACATAATCGTCTAAATAAAAACGAACACATAAAAAACTTAGTGAAAATGACACTAAAATTCTCTTACCGAAAATCAGCTAGAGTTAATTGCAATTTTCGCAAAGCTTGGTTACGACTGATATAATTAACTGCCGCACCTTTTTTGTACTAAAAGGAAAATATGAAAGCAATTAAACTAATAAACATTAGTTTTTATTTCCAATTAAAAAAATAATTTCCTTCAATTTCATTGATCATGTCTGTTTAAGAAAATCCAATTTCTACTTACTTTTTTCTGCATCTTCGTCATGATGATTTCACTTTTTTAACGATGTTTAATATCAATCTGAAAATATTCCATATATTTGATTTTGTCAAGAAAATCATTCTTACTGTTATAAAATTTCTTTAAAAAAATAAACAAAATCTGAAAGCGAAGAATATCTTTCTGTCTTTCATCTACCTCGCAGTATAGAGGCTGCTACCAGGAGGTAGTCTCATAAGTCTGGTCTGGCTTAGAATCCTTGTGCTCAATAGCTTGAGCTCCACGCACATACTAATTACGAGAGCTGCGTTGTACGTCACAACATAGTCAAATTTCTATCGGACAGGTGATCTGAAACAAATAGTTGCTAGTGACTGTTGACACCGAGATTGTAAACATGGTGCCTTGTGGGTACGTGCATAATTACGTAACGACTCAGCCATGACAGTCTCGAATGAAAACTGATACTGCTTGAATATTTAAAAAAATTGGAATTAAAACATATTCTTATCGACAACTGCATTTGATTTTTATTAATTATTTAATGGTAATTTAATATCCATCACTTGAAGTTTTTCGTCGATAAACATCTTCGAGATTTCCATAATGTTTTTTCTGATCACATCAATATATATATATATACAATGTAAATGTAAGTTCATTGGTAACTAAACATTTAAATGAACATAAAAAGACGTATATAAAGATTAAGATCTTCTGTCATACCAACTAATTTATCACATAAACTTTTTACCTAAAATTTTAAAAATAATAGTAATAAAACGTCTTGTTTTTCTTCTTATATCTTAAATAAAATGACACCTATGACAAATAGCTTAAAGCATTTTCTGTGATGATCAACCACCAAACAATATTAATCTTCTTTCAGGATACTTTTAAGTTGTTTATTAAAACATCAAAAACAATTTTTTTGTTGAATTTCGTGAAACAGCATAAATAGATTGATGAATTGTAGATTGACGAAATACGTCATCATTCTAGAATATGTTTTGATCGAATAAATAAAATAATATCCGTTAATTTACCAATACAATTTTTACATAAATCTTGAATTCATTGATGATTTTTTTTTTTGTTCAATTCTTTATTATTTTTTCAATCTTTCATATGAAATAATCTTTGGTTCCATTTGTTAAATCACAATCATGAATAATATGTTGAAATTCAATATCTAGTATTGCAAGTACATTTGCTTGTACAGATATAATAGTTTTATATATATTCCAATCGATTATGACTTGATTTTCCGATAGAAAATTTATACTTTCGCTTTGATTCATTTTGAATATTCATCAAGCAAAAGAAAGTGGAACGTATGAAATTTACTTCATTTAATAATATAATTATGCAACAAAACAAAAAAAGACTTCGATATCCAAAAAACAAAAATAAAACACAGACAAACAACTACAAATAATATATTATTTGATTGGTTAAAAAATTTTAAAAATCATATTTATCATATACTAGTGTCATCTGTTGATATTCGCGACATAAGATATTTTATGTATTTGAATATTTTATAAAGGTTTAGATGTTAATATTGAATGTTCCATATTACCATTGTCAGTTAATCTTGTCATCCATGGTTTATTAGCTTCAAGAATATGAGATAATGATTGGAAACTGGTTGATTGTTCTTCATTTGATGGTATATCCAAATAATTTTCATAAAAATCCTCGTCATTCAAATGAAAATTATTATTTATTGTTGTTGCTATTGTTCGTCGACGATGTTCGAGTAAAGGTATTATTACGTGTTCATTTAATCGATTAGGCAATTTTAAATGTTTTTGATTTCCTTTTCTTCGTTGATCAGTTATTGATGAATTATTTATTATTTTAACATTATTTTCATTTGTTGGTTGCATCTGCAATTCATCTAAATTATACAAAGCATGTCGATTTAAATTATAAATGAGATATTCTAATGAATGTGTTTGATTATTTAAATCTATTGTTGATTTATTTTCTTGTAAATGATGATGATTTTCCGTCATAAAATTTAGTAAAGCATTTGCTTTATCATAAACAGTTTTTAAAAATCGACGTTTACGAGCTGCATGTACTAGTTGTAAAATACATAATATTCCCAATACTATAGCATATTGTGTAAGGAGAAAGAAAAATGTATTTCCATATTCATCTGAATCAATATCCTGATGACCATATTTATGGAAATTAAAAATAATATCTTGACAAAAAATATGTTTAGGATTTTTCATTAATTTTGATGTATACAGTAATAAGCATACTGTATGTCGACCATGTTTTATATTATGCAAATAGAGTGTTAATGTTGAATTAATTATTTCATTTTGTTCATCATATATTCGAACTTGATTAGTACGTGTATGACGAACAAGAAAATGTGTTGATACAATAGAATGTAATAATGATTCATAAAGACGAAAACGAACTCGCAATGTTCTTTTATCAACAAATATCCACGAGCTTCGATAAGAATTGATGTCGAAATAAGGATAATTAATTGCACTTTTAGTACGATTTATTTTCATTTTTCGTTGTTTCATGAATATTTCTGAATTATTATTAAATAAATTGGGAGTTTTAAGAGTTAAATTCACCAGTGATCGACTATGATTAATATTCAATGATGATGGAGCAAGAACAAAAAAACATGACCATAAAAAAAGCCAAAGTGTTAATGAAATCATGTCTAAGGAAACTTGAGAGTTCTGATTCTTATATAATTAAATAAATAGAAAACAAAAAATGTTCTATCATTTATAAATGATAAACGGTCGTAAGCATACACAGAACTAATGTAAAAATATTTTTGTTTTTCGTTCTTACTAGTGAAACAACGGATGGAAGATTTTTTTTTCTCGTTATTGTCATGCAGCTGATGCTTCGATTGACATCACAGAATGAATGAAGGATCTATTCTATCATTCCCAAGAAAGAAAAAGAAAATCGTTAGATTACTGCATCTTTGTCAGTCTCTTTGTATTCTAAAGTCTTTAAGGTTTATGAGAAAGAAAAACGAAATATACTATTGATTAATGATCAAATAGAAAACATTTCTTTAGAATTCAGTTTATGTCTTAGAATTGTACTTTATTGATTAGAACAAAAAAACATAATAGCAAATGTCAAGCAGAACATAAAAGAAAAAACAAGTAATTAACGTAGCGAGTCTGTGAAAAAGGTATGCAAAGACATGCATAATACACAGGTGAAAAACTAAACTTTTTATTTGTTGTTGCGCAAATTGAATGTGGTGCATCTTAATCTCCATATGTTTTATCTTAATGAATTTTACTTCGTCTTTACCTATGACGGCGAACAACGAATTTTATCATTACCGACAAAATAGATCTTTACAATCAACAGATCAGAACAATCAAATTAATCAGAGTATAGTTAAATTAAATGAATCTTTGACTAATGAAAATTTGTCATCATCAAATATCTGTTCAACAGAATCAATTAATATCGACACATCAATAACTGAATCAAATATTGATCATAACATACAACATAGGAGTTTGACAACAATAACGCCCATTGATATAATTCAATTCACATCATCTTGGAAACGACAAATGGTAATAAATAATCAACACGATGACGGACAAAATAATCATTCAACACCATTAAATATGATTCAAATTATATTTACTATTCCATATACAATTACAAATAATTCTATTCATAATAAAACTGCATTTATTACAGATGTAGAACATAATCAATTATTAGGATCCTTAACTGATATTTGTATTAATGAATCATCATTTATTATTAATTATTCAACTATAAAACCGTTACCACATAATATTTGTTTATATCTTTTATTAAATCTGACTCTATCAACTACTCTACGGGAGATCTTTTTTTGTCGTACTATTGATGATTTATATAATGATCCATCTTTATCACATAATGAAACAGAAAAAAATCATAACGTCGGTCCAAGTGAATTTTTTATTCTTTCACAATGCATTATTATTCTTATCATGATGTTTGTTATATATGGAGTGCAAACAGTTAGACAAAAAGATCTTGTCAATCGTGTTAGTGAACGATTAGTTCATAGTCGACCATATATAACTATATTTGGTAATAGAACACCTGCACATACAAGTAGTAATGATGTTAATAGCTCAATAAATCCAGCAACAACTCTTCAACGTGGTTTAAATCATCTTGTTTTTCATCGTAATTTAACAGCATTACCTAATCGTCAAATAAGTGCACCTATTGAAGAACAAGTATTAGCTGCAAGTGATTTAACATCAACAATTTTTGATCGACGTGCAACAAGACCATGCATAAATCATGATTTAATTGATGTAAAAGAATTTACCAAAAGAATGAGTGCACAAATGGAAAACTCAACAAATACTGAATTAAATGTTGTGTAAATAATGCTATGAAAATAATTTAATGGAGAAAAAAATATTTAGAAATAAAGATTTGCTTTAAAAGAAAAATGAACGATTTAATTAGATGAACAGGAATTAAATGCATTAGAATAATATTAATATCAAACTATTTATTGATGAAATACTCGTTCGGCTTCATATTATGACTATGAATAGGTCTTTAAGAGACTGAGGAAAGTTTGAAATGATACGGACTGATGATGAGTTATGGTGATTTTAATGAGATATTTATTAACAATAAGAGATTTTCGAGACAACTAAAACAAACAGTACTGACCTGAAATTCTGTTCGTAGGTATATTTGATAGCCGTGACAATTTCAATGAAACTGAACATATTTTTCTCAAGATATTTAACCACCGTTTATTATTGGAGGATACAGTAATCAAGTTTACTTGGAAATTGAATATTTCGACAAAGATATACTAGTTTTCATTGAAACTTTCATCACAATTATATCAATTGATATGTATAACTTAAGATCAAAACTCTTTGTTCTTGGTTTTTTTTTCGTAAAAAACCCATAAGTCTTCATCATTAGGTTATGAATTCGAATTCTTTTAGGCTTTTCTTAGTCACATAGGGATCCACATATAGCTGTAGCATGAAATCGAGCGGCTTTGGACAACATGCCTAATGTTGAGCTATAATATAGGTCTTAACACATAAATGCTTAACAAACAACTTCAATCTAAGTACATAAAGTGAGAATTTCTAATCCAATTAGAAGACAAGTTTGGCAAGTAAATATATATTGATTTGATAATGTGAATGAAAATATAGGATGTTCCAAAAATGCATTTGGAGTGTTAACGCAAAATATCTCTTGTAGAATTCAAGGGATTTAATTTCTAAATATGTTCTTTAAAATTTTGTGCTGAATAGTTTCAGGTAAATATCCGTGCCTATAAACATTAGAATAAAAATAGTTTTATAAATGATCAACTTTGAGTCATCTATAGTTGTGAAATGAAGACTAGAAGTCGAGTTCGGCAAAAGCACACCGAATGATGATCCCATTAAAGTTATATTTCAATGGTTTTGTGAAACTAGTACTGTGAAAGTTCAAAAACACTTTGGAAGACTGTCGAAAACAACCGAAAAAAAAACCCAACGATGTTTATGAGTTTTTTTGAAGAATAAATCTCACAATCGTGTACTCGAGCTGTTGCAACGACCTACTCCATTCAATGAATGAAATTGCACTTTATACGATTTCAGTGGAAAGCATTCAGTCATAATTCGATGCGCTGTTGATCGTTTGATCGTGAAATGAGCAGATCTTTGCGACAGGTCGAGCACATGATTGTCGTTGATTTTTTACAAACATCATAAACTTCGTTGACTTTTCTTTCTCGTATTTTTCATGATCTTTCAAAATACTCTCGATCTTTCAACTGTATCAGTTTCACAAAAACATTGAAATATAAGTCTTATTGAACCTTCATTTAGTGTATTTTTGCGAGGTATGTTCAGAGTTCTGAAAAAGGAACTTTCCGAAAATACCAAAATATCTCTCATAGCCTCTCCGGAGATTCATACACCTCAAGAGAAATTTTCTAGAAAACTCCGTAATTACCATCCTATCAGAAAGAAATTTCCGCGAAATTTTGGAAATTTTAAATACATGTCAGTGAAACTTCCTGGAAATTTCGGAAATTATCACCACAACATACAAGAATTTCTCTAATTACCAAAATTTCGTAGTAATTACCGAACTTACTAAAAATTCTTATACTTCTTGAGGATAGGGATCCTTAAATCTACATGTATGTTATTATATCCATATGATAAAAAAGAAATTATAGAAATTTCTGTAATTACAAAAATTTTATAGTAATTGCCGAAATTACCAAAAATTCTTATACTTCTTTGGGGTAGAGGTCCTGAAATCTATATCTATCTTATCATACCTATATGATATGATTTTAGAAATTATAGAAATGTCCTAGTAATTACCGAAATTTCTTCTTATATGTTAAAGAAACTTGAAATTTTGTGCAATTTTCGTTGTGGTTTAATTGTAAATTCAGTAATTTCTCAGCAATTATTGAGTCAAAGCTAATTTATATGGGAAACTTCCTGGTAGTTTTGTCCGCATATGCTCGGATTTTCCGTAATTACTTATAAATTTCCTTCTGTGAAATTGATATTTAACGAAATTATCTGGTTGTTTCGTACTATAGTATGAGTAAATTACCAAACTTTCTAGAAAATTTCTTTTATGATGTGAGGGTAATTTCTGAAATTATCAGAAAACTTCTTTATTTTGGTTATGGTTGGTTTTGAATAGTATTGCGTTAGTTGAGATAGTTTCTGATATTTTCTAAAACTTGCATTTTGTATGGTTGCAGTTTTCAAAATATGAATATATAGCAGGGAAATTTCCTTGTTCGGAAATCTGCCCGCTGCTGATTTTTGCCGAACTTTACCTGTAGTTTTCGTTTCACACGTATAGATAACTCGGATTTGACTATTAATAAAACTATTTTTACTACAATATATATGGGCACAGGTATTTATCTTAAAATCTACAGAGCAGCACATTTTGGAATCTAAAAATTGTCTCTAAACTTTAAGCAACTCGAGAAGAAATTATATTTACGTAATGGAAACAGAGAAAACTGTACATTGTTTTGTGTTTTTCTCAAAATCCATTTTTGAATAAAAAAAAATTGAAGGTTTCTCGCTATATTTGTCTCCAGACACTTCGACCGATAGGGCTGAAATTTTTGTGTGAAGCCAGAACTGAATCTGGGTGTATATTTTGTTGTTGTCGTAAAAATAATGTTCTAGTTATTTTTAGCAGATCTTACAAAATTAAGTTAACTTCGCGATGAATTTGTAGGGCACTCTGTGTATTATTTTCTTTCAAAATAGTAAACTAGCTCAAAATGACTTTTGTCAAACATTTGTTTAGATTCCTATTCTTAATTGAAGCGTTTTCTATTTAATATTTACATTTCAGTTTTGAATATTCAATTACAAACGACATATTTATGAATGATAAATAGTCGATTCAAAACTTTTAATACAGTTACATCGAAAAAGAAATAAAATTACAATTATGTCAATCGGCTGATTTCGAAACATCTTCATAAGGTACATTGTCAAGTCGAGTACCAATCATTGGACCCTAAAGAAAAAGAAAACTTTTGTCGAAATGCAACTCAATAAAATTCAATTCTAACCTTCAGAATAGTAACATCAACAGCAAATGTATCTTGATGAATGTCCTCTAATGTTGCTTCTTGGCCACGATAGGCACCATTGACAATAAAGACTTTCTTTCCTACACAAAAAAGAAAATAAACAAAAAAAGAAAAGTCTTTTAATTTTTTTTTGTATAATTTAAAAATTTACCAATTGCCGGAATAACTGTTTCAACATGAGCTTGATCAATACGAATCTTATCATTTGTATCGATCATTTTAATAATAGCTTGATAGTGATTTTCAACTTTTGTAATAATACCTTTCTTTTTATAATATTTTTCACCAAGTTTTAAAGTTATAATTTTCACAACAATACCCTAAAAAGTAATAAAAAAAAACGAAATTAATTCTTTTTTCTAATAGAAAATTCAAAGATTATATTTATACTTCATGTAACCAATAATCTTTACGATTTTTCTGTTCTTTCATTTTTTCTTCCACCTAAAACACTCGTATATATATAAAGAAGAAAAAATCATAATAAATAATTTACCTCTCGTAATTCTTCGAGTGTTGATTTTTTTCGTTTTGATGAGACTGGAAATGGTTTTTTAAAGACAGAAGTTTCAACCGTAGTTTCTTTTTTAGATTTTTTTGCATCAGGTTCATTGGAAACTTCATCCGTTGGATTCGTTCTTTTTTTACTATCAGAAGCTAATACAGATGGTCTGAAAGAAATCAAAATATAATAGAAAAATATTAAAAAACAATGAAAATCTTACGGAAGAATTTTTTTCTTTTCTGCAACAACAGTTTGATTGAATGTTACTTGTACTAAAAGACAAAAGCAAAAATTATGGAACGAAAAAGATTTTTAAAAACTGAATACCTTTTTCATCTTCGTCTTTGCGAACTAGTTCAGTAAATACAGGCTCAGGTAATTGAATACCTCTTTCTTGATCTCTTTTAATCTAAAAATAAAATATTTAATAAAATAAAATTATTTAGTAGAAACGAACTTGTTCAGCAATTAATTTTTGTCGTCGTTGTTCATCATCTAAATCCATTTTGCCTTTTCTTTCACTTTCCATTTCACGTCGTACGGTATCAGGATCTTTGTCAATTAATGTAACATACCATCCTTTCTCAGTTTGTTCAATTTCACAAAGTCCTAAATAAAATAGATATTGAATAGATTTATTTGAGTTCATAATTAGTTTCTTTCTACCTTGACTTCCAAGCCAACGAACATATCCTGCTAATGCAACCCATCGAGTAGCATTCATATGAATATGATCACGATCTTTAATATATTCACAATAAACTGTATTAGCTAAAACACGTTTCGTGCCAAATGAACGACGCAATGTACTGAAAAAACCACTATGAAATTCACTAAACAAAAAAAAAGAATTTTTATTAAATAAGCAAAAATAAATTTTTGTATTTCTTTACTGTGAATAATTGGCAATATATTTGCCTGAATTTTCTCCAACAAGTAATAATTGTCGTTGATGGGATTCACTTTGGATGTGGCATTTAAATCCATTCTAAAAACAAAAAGAATATTTTTCTTCTTCATTATCACTTGGATTGTTTTGTTAAAATTAAAACTAAAGTGTGTTATGAAACCTCTAAAATCCCTTCACTAAATCATAAGTAACATTCGATTATTGTAATTTGGTATAAATAGCTTAGAAATTTGTTAGTGCAATGCCTACGAGATTAAAATGTGAAAGATGATATTGCTGTTCTAGCTAATCAGAGTGAGATTATTTTATTCTATCTTTTTTGGGCCACATTGCTTCACTATCCTTTTACTGAATTCTACACAAATGCAATAAGAAAATAGTAACGGAACGTTATTGATATACGGTCTGTGACATGAGGTGGTGGGTGTCAAGAGTGTGACATCTCTCGATGAAGAAAACTTTTTGGTTTTTTTTATTGGGACTGAAAATATTTCATGCATTTTGTTAAAAAGAATCTTTAGAGTTCTCCCCTTCCCAATGCTGACTGACTCGAACCAGTTCTGGCCACAATCTATGACGCTCTCATGGATCTGCGAAGGGTTCAAACTTTACACTTGTACTTCAACACGCCTTATATATCGTGTTTCGGAAGAAAATATATGTAAAATTTTTGTTTCATTTAGTTTAGTATATTGATTTTAATGTATATTTTTAGAATCTAATTTCAGTCATAGAAGAATGTAAGTAAATCTCTCGTCTAATGTAGAAAACTCTCCTTAATGAATTGATATTTTTGCGAGATTGCGATCTTAATTAATTTATTTCGATCAAAATATGCCTCTTTTCTAGAATTTTGACCTGAAAAATCTTACAAACATTTCGGTCAACATTATTACTCTGCTTTTAAAGCCTTAGAAATTTCTTCGCATATCTTCGAAATTGTTTCAAGGTTTTCAAAAACCCTTTAATTAAAACTAAATTCAACTCAACATATCACTAACTCAAAGTTCATGATATTAAAAGTGATTTTATATTTCATTTATATATTAATAGAATAATATCAATGTTTATTTTTTGTTAATAACTTACCTCATCACGGCATTGTTTTTCGCATGATTGACAATACCATCGTAATTTTTGTAGACCTTTTGCTTTAATTCGATTACCAATTGCTTTAGGCGTAAGAAAACCACCATCTTTACCCATGTTTAATTTCTTTTCAAACAATCTAAAACAAAAAAGTCATATACAAAATCACAGATCCATATTCTACTTTTCACTTAAAAAAACAAAAAACAAAATCATTTCTTTTATTTAGTCAGTTTTTTTCAATTTCATTTTTTTATATAAATTAAATTGATATAAATAAAAACATCCACAAAGTATAGCTATATCATCAATAATATAATCTATTAATAACCAAAAATTTGTATTCGATTCATTTGTCCTATAAAGTATACATGTATCTAAGATAATATTTGAACAAATTAAATAAAATGCTAATTGACATGATTGTATTAGAAATATATCTAAACAAAATCCACCTGAAACTAAAAAGAAAATAATTGCATGTACACGAATAATAATTATCCAAAAGAAATTTTTAAATAATTTTGTTTCATCATTTGACCACCAAAGTACATAAGCATTAAGAACGAAATAAAAAACAATTAAATAAGTTGATAAACGACGTGAAATTGATCGAAATGAAACATTTGTTGTATGTAAACTGGCAATAAAACAAAATGTTGCCATTGTACCAAGTGAATGAATAATTATACGGATCTGAAAAACAAAACAAAAAACAATTTTGTTTTTTTATTCTTCAAAAATATTTATAATTCTTACTTTTAACCAAGGAGTCAATTGTTGAAGTATATTCGAATATAATAAATAAGAAGTACATCCAAGTCCAATAATATGTGGTAAAAATCCAAGTGCATGTCGAAATTTTCGATCACTAACAAAAATACCACTCAAAAAATGCGATGCTATAAGAACATATACAATTGAAATATAATTGAATCCAGTATAACTAAAACAAATAGAAAAAAAAAAGAAACATAAAACATAATATGATAATTTATGATCTTACTCTTTTTGTGTATTTGCTGATATGTGTCCAATGATAATTGGTAAGGAAAAACTTTTCCAAAATGAATGTCGAATAAGATATTGTGTTGCAACAATTTTACTCCAAAATAACCAATCTTTTTTAGATGATAAAGCTGTAGAATTATTCGTAGAACTATACAAAAGAAATATAGAATCATAAAAAGATTCCGTGAATTTCGGTCTGGTGCGAAAATCAGCAGTGTTCAAGTTTCGAAAAAGGGAAATTTTGGAAATTATAAGCACTTTATTTCAAATTGTTCAATACTTTCCAAAATTATGCAATTTCCGAAGTTACAGGAATTTCGGAAATTTCTAAGAACTTATGATTTTTAATTCTATGTGATTACCGGTCTCATAGAAATTTCAAAAGTTTTGATAATTTCCTTTTTCGAAAATTTGAACATACTTCGCAAAAACCCTATGACTTTTTGCCACATGTCGAAAGCCATGCAGGATTTTCGATTCGGACTCAAGTTCCTCTCATTAACTTTCCGAAGAAACTCAAAATTCTATAAAAGATTGGTATATTCCATAGTGCTTATGAGGGATCTAACTGAACTGATATCCGTCCTTTAACCTCATACAGAGTTCACAGGGACGGCAACTGTAAGACTAAAAAAAGCTAATAGAGAGATTCGTACCCATGGATCTCTGTAGATGAGTTATGACTGAATTTTCAACCCATTTTTAGATTTTTACTGATGTTCATTTTTCGAGATACTAAATTCTCAATAAATAGTCGCTTGGCATAGACGTGTCATGAAAAATCAAGTTTATTTGGAAATTCAATACCTCGATAAATAAGCATTCTTTTCGGCTGAAACCTCCACACTAATCTAAGGGTCATTGAATTTATTTATGAGGTGATGTTTTAGTCGAAAATTCTGTAAAACGATCATAACTTGGCTCTAGAGGTGCATAGCGCGAACCTTTTTCAGCTTTCTTAAGTACTACCGAGACTTCCTTGTATCTTTTATATGAGCTCGACAGCAGGTATCAATTCAAGTGTTTTCCTCGTTGGTGGTATATACTTTTAGTAAAAGGTAATGCCTAACAGGGCGGTATAGTACTGACCACTCTGCATTGATCCTAGACCTGTTGCTTGATCTAAGTGTATGTTGCTGACAATTGCTTTATAAATCACAATACATACAGGAAAGCGCTATACCGTTTTTACCGAATACTATGTTGTCCTGCTTTGTACTACAGTTGAATGAAAATTTATATCGTTAAGTACTATGAAGTGTACCAATTATTTGTATAAATAAGGCTTCTTATGGGGATTAGTATGAGAATTTTGAGTCCCGTCTAAAATTCTGAACTCTCGAATATAAAAGAACGAAAGAAAAAATAGATACATACCTATTCGATTCTACCATCGAACTAAATAAGAAATCCCTTAGTTTTAAAATCTGAAAATCAAAAAAAAACAAAGACAAATGAGTTTTTCTTTTTCTTAAACAAAATTGTGTTTTCTAATGGCCATATTTTTCTTTTTCTGAATTAACAACATTTTTTATTGTATTTTCATATGGATTAAATAATCGTGGATCATCAAGATAGACTGTTTCTTTCCATTTATATGGCATTAAATTGAAGCGACGTGCTTTTAAAACAGCTTTTTCAAGCTCAACTTGTTTAAAATAACATAAACCAGTTGTATATTGATTAAAAACAAAACCTGTTTGTGGTGAAATAAATTGACTTAATAATTTCGTATTACGAAAATCAATTTTAATATTATGCACACAAAATATACATTTATGTGGTGATGGTAAATAAGGATCATTGATTTTTTTAGGCCGATCATCATTTGGATCATATTTTATATCAGGTTCAATTTTGGTAAAATTTACCGATGATGATGGACAAGTTTTAGAATCTTCCTTATTTGATGATGTTACAGATTTACGTTTTGGTGGTCCTAAAAGAAATTGTTCACGTCTTTTACGTAATCTTTCATTTCGACGAGATTCATATTGAATCCATTCATCTATGAAATAGAATATTATTTTTTAATAAATAAAACTCATATTTATATTACCATCTTTTTCATAAACATCAGTTGTTAAAAAGACTGATGTATTTACTTTATTAGTATATTCATCAATATCAGCCCAATCAATCGATCGTACTGATGATAGATGAAAAGGACGAATTGATGTACGACAAATAAACGAAATCAATGGACGAAAACGATACATTTGGTTCATTGTATTACTCTAATATAGGTATACGTTATCACCAAAAGATTTTTCTGATTGAGGAATTTTATTATGAATCACGTCGTCCAATTTACTGCAACAATAGAATTCAGCAAGAATAGATGTCACCAGATTCAAGACTTGTAGTCTGGTGATAATTTAGTCTTTCTATATAGAATTTCATGTAATATTAACATCAAAATTCAAAAGTGGTGTATGAAATATTTAACTCCTAAAACATAACAAATAATAATCTATTAAAAAGACATGCATATGACATGTATTTAGCAATGATTCGTCGATTGCTGTTATGTAGTGGAAAAATTGTCTATTATTAATCAAAAGCATCAATGAAAAATAATAAGTATTGAGAATCTGTTGAATATTCATTTGACTCTTCTATCTTAGTTAAATTAGCCCTTTTTTGACATAGAAACAACAAAATGAAATAGATTCTTGAAACGATTATTAGTGATATAGTTGAGACAGGAACATATTCTATTGATGGTTAAAATGTAAATGCTCCATTCTTAACCAACCATGTGTCTTTGAACATATTGTCTTGAAAAGAAAAAAACTTATTTTACAATCTCATATACTAAATTGAATTTTTAGAGAGATTTTATCAAATCGAACTAATTTTCTTATATTTAAAATGCTTATATGTTCCATAGCTGGCAATCATTTAATCAAACTTAGTAATTGATTTAGCAGCACAATGAGGCGGCAATCGACAATCCACCGTAAAGTTGCCAAGAGCTGTCGATCACGTTTGCTAAATTGCGATTTTAATTTTCAGTAAAGCTTTCTAGTGAGTAACAGTGAGTGATCGAAAAATAACATTAATTACTCCTCCTCTTAGTTGATGATTACTTCAAAAGTAAACAAAAATTTCATGTAAACGTATATTGTCAGGCAGATAGGTTGTCTCGGTAGTGTTTAATTGTGCGGTACGTGCCAACATGTTATCAAACATGATATGAAAAGTTAAGAATTATGTCAAATAAATTTGTTATCTGATTCACTCTGAGAGTAACTGAACTCTCAGATGAACAGCGAAGCATAATAAATAATTCACAAGTGCTGCTCAGAGAGATATTTCTAATCAATTATCTGCGCATATATTAATTGTTTTTTTCTATGCACTGATTATTCAAATAATCCATTCGATATAAGAAATCTATTATTGTTTTTTCCATATTTAAGTCATTATTTACATGTAAAGGATGATGAAAATAATACGAATACGAACAATATCGATATGAACAATGATGATAATAGCTCAATAATTATTTAGTATAATTTCAGTAGATATATCATCAGTCAACTACTAATGGTAAATTTGTTTTTATTTGGAAATTTTACTAATCAACTACTAAAATAAATCCCATTGCAATCATTAATATTATTGTTAATTGTTTTTTCAGTTATTGTTTTACAAGTTCTGTTCATATCGTGTCAATGGAATATGTTTCAAGTTCTTTTGTTAGGAGTACATATGTCTTCACATGACAACAATATTCAGTATATTTCAAACTCGAATACTCTAAATTATAACAAGTATACATTGAATGAGATTACTTTTAATCGATTTATGCTATATCTCAGATAAAGTATTATATTAAGAGTTACGTTTCGAGTCAATACAGTTTTCAAATTTTTCTTTTAATATTTATCGAAAGGCTTATTGCAGGAACAGATTATGTGTATTTATCTATATATACTGTAGTAGATACTATTGTTTGATTTATTGATAGTGTTTTGATTGAACAGCATAGACACTTTCATAAGTATTTAATTTTCATGTGGTTTTATCTTATTGAAAAATTTTTCATTTTATAAATAAAGAAGTACATTANAACAGACAATTATTTTTTTGATTATTATAATATCATCATTAAGATTGTCTGAGAGAAGTTTAGGGTATATTAGTAGCCGAATTTCGAGTGGCTCTTAAACCCAAGAAAGAAGTGCTCCAACTAATTAATTGCTTTTCAACTGGCACTATGTGTATCATATAGACTAAATGAGTTTCGAATATCCCCTCAAAAGTGTTCGAGCTCAAAGCTTGCTGCTGTGTACATACTATAAATTTCGGATAATTTTTAAATAAATGTCAGTCTCCGTCAGGAACACTGATTTTGGAAATTCGATTCTACACTTTGTATTGAGACAAGCCTTAATCAGAGTAGTTTATTGTGAAAGTTTGAAATCCATTGATTTGGTTCTATCTTGTAATAAGAATATTGAATCTGCTGTTATATATTAGCAATACAAAAGACACGTCTCTATCTTAACTATATCTTAAGATAGGAATAACGACAAGATCTAAAACTTTCACTAAAAACAACTCTCATTAAGTACTGTTGCTATGCAAAGTTTCAAGTCGAAATTCAAAAATCAGTTTTATTGAGGAGGTTCATGATATTCATTTAAAAACTGCGGTAAAAGTACAATATCTCAACAGCAATAAGCTGTGAACTTGAATTTTTTCCATAGTATTCATAGTTAATTGGCTTCTACATAATGCGTATGGCCTCCACTGAAAAACGTTGTATCAGTTGAGGGACTTCCCTTGTTAGACTGAAAAGTTTCGTTGAAGTTCAGTGTATGCTCAGTTCTGAGTCTAAAAATGTTGAACTTGGTGAGCTCTTGTAGTGAAATAAGAGAGATGGATAGTTAACTTGCTTTTAGTTATTTCAATACATATTAATAGCAGATAATCTTACACAAAAAGCTTTAGCTCGTTATGGAGGGAAAACATATATATACGTTTGATTTCAAATCAACTCTTAATTGATTTGCACACACTGATTATGAAGCTTTTGTGATCTGCAGTAACACATAAACCGTCAATCTATGACATTCCTATCAAAATTCTGAGAGTGTGACTAAAGAGAAGACCTAGATTCTCAAGACAATTATACTCTAAAATACTTATAACCTTTTTTTTACCAATATGAATAAATATATCGCATCACAAATTCGAAAATTTTGTTTGTTTTCTGAAAAGTAACTCCGTCTTCAAGGAGTTAAAGAAAAAGCATTAAATGTCTTTATTTTTTCTATGGCAGATTTCGATATGCCAATCACAATTGCACATCCAATAAACAAACCACTTTTACTGGATTGTCCATTAACAAATGCTTGGCTGCATAAGTATAAAAGAAAAGATCATATTCATTTTCTCAACACATAATCATATTTAATTATATATCTAGAGACAAGTCAATTGATCAATATATCTTAAATAATAATTCTCTTTATATTCCTCATTCAAAACTAGCTGAAATCAATGGTCAATATCAATGTGGATCACAACAATACAATATTCAATTATATGGTATAGAATTTCTCTCTTTAAACCATACTCAGAAAAAAATGAAAAGCTTTATTTTAGATAAACCATCTTCTGTCGAAGCAAAAATTCATTATACAACATCAAATGAAATCGGTATAAAATTGACTTATCCATTAGATATAATTGAAAATTTAATAATAACGTATAAAACAAAACAAAATCCAATAAATAATGAAATTCATCTATCTCCACCATTATTAAACGTTCGTTTAAAAAATCTTTCTTGTGGAAATCTATATGAAATAGTGATCTATGCAAAAAATCAAGTTGGATTAAGTTTAAATAAATATTTAATTGGAAAAACTGATGGTTCAGGTAAAATATTTTATTATCCTTTGATTTCTATTTTTATTCAAATTCTTTGTTTTTTTTAAATGAAAGCTCCTTTATTAATTCAATCAAAAGATTTAATTGAAACTATATCAAATAATTTTATTATTCTCAATATGTCAAATTGGATAATAAATCAATGTTTAATATTATCTTATGATATCGAATTATTTCCTATAATAAATTCAACAAATAATAATAATAATAATAATAATAATAATCTTCATCGATATTATTCATTTAAAAATAATTTTAAAAATTTTCGTATAAATAATTTACAAACTAATCAAGATTATCAATTACATATTAAAATTAATAGTCAATCAGGTGAAATAATAAAAATAATCTTATTTCGTACAACTAATGATAATCAACAAATGAATTTAAAAACTAAAAATTCTTATATTATTATTATTTTGGTGATATCACTTATATTTATATTTATTTTATTGATAAGTATTTTTATTTTAATGAAATTTTGTCAATTCAATTTAAAAAAACCTAGTAAATATAAATTAATTTTTTATTGAACATTTTTATGATTATATATATTTTTTTTTATTCTTAGATTTATTTCTTGAACAAACAAGAAAATTAAAACCAGTTATGTATTCATCTTATCCTCATCGTTATCATAGTACATGGTTAAAAAGTAATAATGAATTTACAATAGAAAATTATACAAATAATCAAAATGAAAATTCTAATCGACCATATAGTTATGTATCAGGTATATTCGAAATTATGTATTTTAACTATTTATGAATTCTTTTATTTGATTTTTTTTAAATAGAAGATTCTCAAGGAAATATTAATCCTTATGCAGTTACTGGTTTTATTTTAAATGGTAAAGATCAAATTGATCATGGATCATTATGGAGAGAAAATAATCATGCACATTGCCTTTTAGATGCAATAGGTATCAGGTTTTGCTTTCTCTAAGCCCTTTCCCTGCTCGAAAATCGATCTTGTCTCACGTGCATTCAAATCGCATGAAATTTTCAGGATATGTTGAGACTATAGTGGAAAGACTATAATAAAATCTTCAGCCGCATAACATGATATTTTCGAGTGATATTCAACTGACAAGAGTCAAAAAATGTTCATTTGACAACCTAACTTTTCAAACTGTCCTACTATCTTCTTCTTTTTTTCCAACGGTCACGAAACTGATCAAGTTACTCCACATGTAGTGTTATGCGTCAGGTCCTTCTATCTATATTATTAGTATATCAGCGGGATTAATACTCTTTTGTGTAGTTTTTTATCAATGAATCTTGTATGCAACTAAAAAAGATTTAACATTAAAAACAAGATTCATTCAGTAAAATATTTTAAATTTATAAAATATGAGCTTTCTTAGATGTATGATACTATTTTATACAAACATGTGCGAATAGATTCTTACTGTAGCTCATATTCAGTTTAGACGCCGAATGAGATTAGCAATTTTCGTGTCACAAATAATTTTTTTTTGATGAAAATACTATATCATTTAATGTTTAAATCCATAAGTCAAATAAAACTTAATAGGATTCTCATATAAATTATTCCAACTATGCAACAGATATATAGTAAAACAACTTCATGTAAACACCAGCTTATTCTGAGTAACGAGCGCTTATTGTTTTGGTTCCATAAGTAATAATAATCTCTGTAATATAAACAACACATGTTCTATTATTCACGTACATAGCAACAAAAAAAAATAATGTTATGTGTATTGCGTTGGGATAAACAATCATAGGATACAGAAAAGTGAGATGGATTAGCCATGGATATTTAGAAGAACGAAAAAACAATATTAGACAATAGTAATAGTGCTTGGTGTAATATCTTGTTGTTTTTGTATTAATATTGTTGGAAAGATCATCTTATGCAGCAGACAAGCGGTTGCAGCTAAAGGCCTATGAGTGGCAAAAAAAGAAACTCTAAACCTTTTATTTTTTTTTTAATCAAACTTTCGATAAGTCTTGTAGAAATCGGTCGAATAAAAAAACAATTGATTTTTGGTTCTATGGATAATACTTTCTTATTTTTCACATAAAACAAAATGAAATAAATTGATACAATAAATGTCATATTTAACAGCCTGTTTTCTTTTCATATTTATTTCTCCTGAGAGCAGAGATATAAATAAAATTTTCGATCTGCAATAGCCATTTTTTAGCATTCTATAGTCTTTTGGTCTCAAATTCAGGTCGACATTTTAGTTTTTCTTCACTCTATTCAATAAAACATATTATGCATTAAGGCTATGACCCGCTACAATTAACTCCATGTTAAAAGACGACAGCTATTAATGTATAGAAATGATAACTTATTATATATATCTGTGGCACTAGTGTCTTATCTTGATGTTGTTACAGTTTTTGTATTTGAAAATTTGCTTATACATAGTAACTATCGTTTACCAATAGCGATTTAATTAATTGTTCCTATTCGCATAGTTATAAAAGAAATGAACATTGATTTACAAAAGAGATCTTTACTAGCGATGGCATTGAGCACGACGACTATCAGATGAGATGATCAGAAAAATGAAGTATACTTAATCAGATATGTTAGGACAGCTTATTAACGATGACCCTTTGTCAAGGGAACCTATATATCAAATTAAGAATGCAAAGAATTACGGAGAAGTTAACAAAAAAAGATATTGATTTCAACGTAGCGCCTCCCCTTTCTCCTGTCGGCCACTGGATTGATCCTTTCTTTTATTGAACTTCATAGACTACTAAGTGATAAACAGACTATTTTTTTATCACTATGCTTTGAAATATCAGCCGTACAAATTCGATAATTTTGAAAAAAAAAAGCGGAAAAATCCGAGTTTTTCGAAAGAATATCTTCTCTACCTACACTCAATAGAGATCTTTCAGAATTTCTATTTGATCTAAATCGATAAAGAAGCCCACTAGTGAGTTAGATATGTTTCGAAAGCTTCACAATAACTCGGTGAATTACACATACTAAAACATACAATTGACCATAGAATCATTATTGAGAAACTCACAGCAAAGTTAATAGATGTACTATAAGTCTCATGCTGCTTTTGCTCACTCAATAATATGGTTCAAGAAAAACAAAAATCAAGACTTAAGATATCGTAAAATCCCTTTTCGTGGACACACGATCATCATGCTGATGAATCTCACTTACATAAAGATATAGACACTCAGTGTATCGAGCCATATCATTAGCATATTAGAAAGGCTAATACTGTATTTATAAAGTTATTTTATCAGTGATTCTTCTAGAACAACTGTAGTGGATAAAGGAACAAATATTTTGTTTTTGTAATAGAACATCGTCCATCAACTACCTCTTCAGAACGATATTTTCGTCCTATAATTCTTGAATCATCATCACTTAATAATCAAGAATCTTTAAAACGTAATCCACTTGTACAAATGCCTCCAACATATTTATTATCAAATCCTGTTCAACCATCATCAAGTGTTCTTTCAACAATATCATCTTCTCAAGGTGAACTTTTTTCTGCATTTACATATGTTCCACCATCTAAACAAATGACATTTAATGTAAAAAAATCTTCTAATAATATTAATAATCATATACTTGCTGATCAAAGTTCATCATCAGCTGATTCCGGTGTTCATTCATCTTTTACTCAAAGTCCAATAACGAAACATTCATTTCGAAAGTAATATTAATAATCAGAGAGCTTTTTCTTTTAATTTATTTAAAACTTTTCAGATGTCATTTACATGGATTTTCTTTTGATCGTCCATCATCAGCAAATGCTAATAATGATCCAGAAAAACATTTATATGCAACATATGATCAACATTTTGCTTTTCTAAGGTTTTAATTTTAACAAATTTTGTTAATTTTAATTTCATCTGAAAAAAATTTTTTTAAATAGAGGAGCAACATCCCATCATTCAAATAAGGAACCGCATAGAAATCATCAACAAGAACAATATTCTTTAGTTTAATTCGATAGTCAAATTAAGAAAAGAAAAAACAAACAGTGCAATAAACCATTTTATTCGTTGTCTTTTTCTTTTTTTATGAAAAATTTTCTAGTTGTTTTTTGTTTCGTGTTTTTTTTGTTGTTGTTGTTCTTTATTTTTTATATATAATTCAATTATTGCAAGAGTTACCAAATACATATTAAATACGAAGATTAAAAGCAAAGAAAACATTATACAAAACAAATGACAAATATACTTAAAATTAAATAAAAAGGATTATTTGAAAAAGAATATATAATAGTATTCGATGATGATATTGTTGTCGTTCTCATTGACATAGTTGTTGTTATTGTTACGGGTTTAGATCGAGCACGACTTGGTCTTACTAAAAAAAGAAATAATACAATAAATAAGAAATGAAGAATAAAAAAAAACAATTTTACAGGTTTTTTGTCTTTTTGTTGGAGATAAATCATAAATAATAGTCGACGTTGGCAATGCAATTGTTGTTATTGTTGCTGTTGCTGTTGTTGTTATTTCACGAATTATTATTGAATCCAATTGAATAAAATCTACATAGATATCTGAACATATGCAAGTTGTATATAAACATTTATTTTCATACTTGAAACATTGACTAATTTTTCATCTGTTCCAAGAGAATTATTACTTTGACAATAAAAAACAACTGATGCATGTCTTTGTGGATACTAAAAGAAGAAGAAATTGAGATTTCTGTTTTTTTTTCACTCATAAATATAATAACATACGACAGAAAAAGATAATGTTGAAAATTGATCCATTGTTTTTATATTATATATATTAGAATTATCTATTATTTGTTGTTTATTAGTATCAAGCCAAATAATTGGTGCTGGTGGATTTGATACAGATGAACAATGAAGAAGAACATCAATACTATGTGAACCTGTAAATGTTCGAACATTTGTTGTTAGTTTTGGTGGATCTAATAAAGCGAAAAAAAGATTTTTTTTCTAAAACACTTGAAAAATTATTCTATTAAGCTTACAATAAACATCAACATTAAAAACTTTTGATATACGCGTTGATTTTTCATTATCGGCAACACATTCAATTATTGTTGGATCATGTCGTGAATAATTTCCTAAACGTAATTCACATATTGTATCTTGACAACTTGTACCGTCACCAACTAGAACATTAGGGAAAAAAAAACAAACTAAATCTTCTTGTCCATGTCATTGACATAATCTGTCGTAATATAGTTTTAATCAATCTTTATCTGACAGATTAAATCAATAAAGATAGTATGTAGTACAATGTGTGAAAAACACACGCACATTTGTTCGTTTTGTTGTTTCTTAAATCAGTTGGAGATTACGTAAATAAAAAAAAAGAAAGAAAGAAGGATCGGTCAACTTGAACGCGGGAAATGTTTGAAGACATGTTAAGGATACGACATTGACATGTCAAGTTTTTTCTCATGTTCGACAACAACGGAAATCAACATAAGACACGTAGTCGTTTTCGATTTACACCTCTTTCAGTCAAAAGATATTTTGTTTTCTATTTACATGGAACATTTCTTTTATCATTTGTACGATAAAACCAAGTGATTGAAGGTTTAGGTCGACCATAGGCAGAACAAGAAAGTTGAAGAGTTGAACCTTCAATAATACTTCGTTGTTGAATAAAATTATTATCATCAACAAATTGAGGTGGAACTATATTAAGCAAAAAAAAAAAAGAAAATCTAATCAATAATCTATGTTTTAGTGTGCTTTATTCTATTTACCAATAATAAAAAGATCATATTCAGCAAAAATACTTCTTCCTCTTGAACAAATGTATCGTCCTTCATCATCAATATTTGGTCGTAAAATAGTTAATGTTAAAAAATATGTGTCAATAAATGTACCATTAGCATTAATACTTGAACTAAGACGACGTTGTTCAAGTTGTATACGATTTGGTGCATAGACAACACTATCTCGATACGTTAATATATCAGGATTGTGTGGTGGTCGAATGCGCATCCACATAGCCTTAAAAAGACAGATAAATAGATAGAAAGGACATCAATGCATTCAAGCATTGATAATCAATATGAGTAAATGTCTAGAAAATTGATTCACCTCCGGTATAAGTAAATTCATTTAAGCGAGAAAAAATTATATTCAACACATACCTCTTCAGCATCTAATTTCGATGTCACTGTACATTCAAGTCGAATGCGTTCATCTTGTTGAACATCAATTGTACGAATATGGCCAATATCAGCAATTATTGTCACGTAAAATATTATAGTAAGAAAATAATAACACAAATACCAATCCATTCATCCAAAAGACGAGTATGAAACGGTCTGTCTAAGAATAATTAGTTACCCACATTATCATCTAACTGTACATAAATAAAGAGCAGAATAAGACAAATAGAGAGAAAACAAAAAGAAAGACACGTAATAATACGATCGTATTAATGAAGAAGTATGTCGCATTCCAGAACTCAAGTATTTGTGCGAGCTGCAAAGCGATGTGCGAACAAGAGATGATGAAAAATGTGTCGCTCTGATGACAATGTAGTTCTTCACAGTCGTACTCTCGTGCGTAACAATTGTTCTCGCTCACTTATACTATGTTCTAGTGTAGGTCTACTCACTTCATTGTCTTCACAACACGACTTTATGTATGTAAATGTGTGTGCACGCACAAGTCAGCGATGACGACTATCAGTTCGGTCCTATATACGCGTTCAGCAAAAGAAAAGAGAGACAACTGCTCGTCTTCTTTTTTTTTTATTCTTTTCTACCTTCAAACACACACGCATACTATTGCTATCTCCAATTCGATGCGAGAACAAGAACAATTGCATTTTCTTAGTTGTTCAATATTTGCCGATAAATTGCTCTCAGATCATCAACCATCTCGATGCGCGTCAATTGAATGCGACATTGACTGATGGTTTCGATAAACATACAAGAGGGACGTTTGAATATTGTTTGATGGCATCTAAAATAGAATAGGACAAGAGGAAGGCGAATAGCAATTAAACAATGTTAAAATGGGTGTGATCTCTAGTGATCGATAATCAGAAATGATGATAGAAGACAAGAGAAAAAGAAAAGAAAGACGAACAAGTGTGTTAAGTGATTAGAGACATACACAAGATACAATTATGCAATACGTATCCGGAAAGCCGATTTTAAAAAAGACCTTCAGTTGGTCATTGGTGCGACACTGATTTGTTTTGGGAATTCTATTCCATTCAAATCAAGCCCATGAGCATCGCACATCCAGAGAAAGAAAAAGAGATAGGAATCATTATGTGTATGTTTTGTGACGATCATATCACCGGTATCTTTCTTTACTACGCACGGTTTGTTGTGGCGATCATAAAAGAAGAATGCAGTTGGTTAACTCTTCTTCATGCCTGTCTATATATATATATATTGATGACTATCACTGAGTCAGGGCAACATTCCATTTTTGATTGAATTCATGTATGTAAAGATAAATATATGTGCTGTTTAGTTTTTTTTTGACTAGATAATACATAACAATATAGCCTAATAATAGAAAAAAAATCAAATCATCTATGATTTTGTTAAGTCGTTAAAAAAAACTTCTTTTAATATTTATTTTCTATTACAACATGGCTAAATATTTTGATTTTTGAATTGAATTTATTTATCGAAATGTTTTAAGTAGATATTTTTTAATGTCTAATTTAGTTGCATTACCTGATATCTTTTTGAAAAGTAATAATAAATAAGAGATAATAATCTTTTCTGTTCTATTATTCTCAAGAGCTCAAGTACATATCTCTTATCAAACTTTAATATACAAATTTCGATACAGTCGGCAAGACGCCATTCACAAGTAAATAAAGTGATACATAGATAATTCAAAAAACTAACTGAAGAACTCTTCAAAAGCTCTTTACTATAAGACTCTACGAAAATAAAATATGATGAAAGACAAGAAGAAGAATTATCATAGGTTAAATGTTAATCAAGACATTAACAAATTAGTTAACACAATCAGTTAATTTATTAAGTGATTATATTTTAAACAAGTTTTCATAATCAATAACATGCGTGTTTTGTCATCATTATAGAAATATTCAATTTGTACTTTGAATAAAAACGTATTCAGTCTCTAAGGACTAGATAAATCTAATGTTGATCGAATAATTTTTTATCTATTATTTAAATTGATCGATCTATATAGTATATTTATCGTAATTTTGAAAGCATGATTGTCAATCATTTTTTTATGTCACATACAATTGTCAATTTTCTCAATTATTTAGAGCATAGAAAAAACTTCATCATATAAACAAATATTTTTATATTCGTATTATTTTTCGCTTTGCTTGATTGACAATTGATTACATGATAATAATTGTATATTATTAAATAACTTGATCCCAATCAACAATTTTATTTATTGTATTTCTATTCTCTGACAGATAAACCAAAAATAATAATAATGATAATAACCAGATAGATCAACATTGTACAACAAAAGAAAAGAAACGAGAAAAATAATAATAATACTAACAAAAAAAAATATCGCTCAATATCAGAAAACAAAACGCCTAATCAGAAAATAACAACGAATATCTGACTGAAGAACAAAAAAAGAAAAACAATAAAGAAGTCGAATACTCTTTTCGAAGAAAAAAAAACAAACCCAATCAAATTATGTCGATTATCCATTTTTTTCAATGCGCACAATTTTCTGTTGTTCGACTAATATTAATAATTTTCTAAAGAAATAAACAGAATGAATAAAAACATTGAAAGATCAAAGCATAAAACTCTTACTGTCGATTTAACTTGAGCAACACAAACGACAGCAGGTTGAGTTCGATAAGGCAACATATTATTTGATGCATTATGAACAACATCACTGCAATTCAATAGAATGATAAAGTTTTGAAGAAAATAAATAAAATATTTTAGTTTACCCGGCACGATTAAATGGTGAAGAACGTCGTCGTCGAGCAGAATGTGGTGAAAGACTAATACGAAATGGTTGCGATGTTGTTCTTCATATAAAAAAAAGGAATTATTTAAATAGTAAATATTCATAATTATTATTCTTACTTGATATTTTCATAAGGAATATCCTTGAGCTGATTGTCATCTAAACCAATAGGTTCTACAAGCTCAAATCTATTATAATAGATAAATAGGTCGAAAGAAAAGTAAAAGAAAACAAAATTTACATACTTAATGGCATCTAAAATTTCCGATGGCATTTGTTTTCGAGGAGATTTACTTCGTCTAAATTAAATAAACACGCTTAATTAGTCGTATTTTTAAAGTACAAATAAACACCGATGTTCTGAGCGGGGCACAGTAGATAGAAAAAGAAAGCCACAAGCAATTTCTACAATTACTGTAGTTAATAACTTGGTTTTTTGTGTTATTATGTTTCGCACTTGATGCTGATTATCTAACCTTTTTTTACGCGTGAGATTTCTGAGCAATTGATCGGCGGATTCTCGTAGTTACCTTCAAACGTTGCACAAATAGTGTTCTTAATGGAACTTATGATAAAAGTGCTAGCCATTTTAGTTGCGCTTTATCGTGAGGTATGAATATAGACACAAAATTTGCTTTGTGACATACCAGAATTTTCAACAGCCATATTTCATCAAAATTGAAACTTTCAAAATGAACCAATCCGATTATGAAAATTACTTGTGCAAATTTTCAAGTCAAAGTTCGATTTTGTAACATAAATCACTCTAGACTATCTCATAGCTAGCCAGTACTCATCAAATTGACATAGTCTCGATTAAAAACTGATTTATTACATACAGACATTTTATGATAGTAACTTCAAAATTGTAAACTACTTATGGATTGTTTTTAGAACTAAACCATCAATGTAAAAACCGTGAAAATGCGTATGTTTGAGATAATATTATTCATCTGAAGCTTCACCAGTCATAAAGATAAGCAAATATAATAGAAGTCAATTAGAACGGATCCATTTTAAATGTGAATTGTATGAGTCACTAGTCGTTATTTTTTTGGTATATTACGAGTAACGTTCTGGTTCTAGTGAAGTAGACGAAGTTTCAGAATGTCCGAAAGGCTTGTATTATATAGTAAAAATATAACACTGTATAACTATATAATACACATAGCAGCTTTAAAGGCAGTTACAACTTAGGTGCATACCTTCAAAATCGATTTTGTTCTCGGACTGATCACTGTACGGGAGCTTAATCTTGGCGACCTTAGGACATCTCTGCAAGTAAACTTACTTGCGACGACGAACAGCTGCTCTTTTATGTCGTGAATTATCAGGATTATCAGTGTCATCACATGTTGTTGTTTCATGTGATGTATTTGCACTCATGAATTGATTGACATCAGGTGAACTTCTAAAATTATAACAAATAGTCATATATAAGAATAAAAAAACATTTCTATATATTTTACTTGGCACGTTTACTTCCATGAAGAATTATTTGATTGAATTGCAATTCATGAATAGATCTGAATTTTTAAAGAGTAAAACAAAGTCTACTTTTTTTGGAAAAAATTTCTTACCGACGCTTTTCTTTGTTTAATTCAAGGAATTTTTGTTGTTCATTTTCACTTTCATTGGCATATGCACTGAAAAATGAAGATGAAAGATAATTTTAAAAAAAATCTTTTTTGTTGTATTAACTTACACTGATCGTCTAGCAGAAACGTCATTTTGTGAATAACGACTATTAACATTAACAACTTTATTGATTGAAGCTGATGAAGATTGTTTTTTGAGAGTACTAATAGAAAAAATAAAACTTCGAATGTCTCTTATAACATAACCCTTTATCCCTCTTCTTTGATCAATAGAGTGATTGCTAAGGAAGCATGCCTTGAATAAGAGAATATTTTGTTTTATGTTGCTCTATACATCATAGAGTAGATCATTCTCTATGAAAACAGATGTCTTAGAGCTCTCTACGATGTGTTTTCGTCGATTCGTTCTCTCATTAATGTTTATCAGAATGTTTCTCATCAATCTTTTCATGATATCAATACATCATTATTCTATTCCAATGATTTTGTTTCATCAATAACTCTTCTGGAGTTGGCATGGAGAGTTGAAAAGTTAAACAAAAACGTAAAAGTAGTGTGAATAGTATGCGTAGAATAGCGAAGCAAGAAAGTTTATTACAAAAGCTAGCACTTTTGCCATTAGAAAATATTTATGAAAGCGTTGGTATAAATATAAAATTTCATCTTACTTGTGAAGATATCTGTCGAAAATCGATTTCCCTATTGACTGAAAAATATGTCTCTCAATAAGTTATAAACCAAAAAAAAATTATCGATTCATATAAAGATTCTACTTCAAATAGAATTACTATTTTTCATTTAAATTACTTACTATCGTTTCGTTCCTGAGTCAGTCATTGTACTTGAATTTGATTTCGTTCGTTCTTTTTGGGTTCTTAAAAAAATAACTAAAATTTTCGAAATCTTCTTCAAAAGAAATTTATTCTCACTTCGCTCCTGTCGATGAAATAGCCACGCTCGTCGGTATGTCTACAAAAAAATAAAATAAAAACGCTTGTTAGCGCAGCCACTTTGGGATTGAAATGTGGAACTCACATATGTTCTTTAACCTGATTAAACTAATCCAAAAATACGTAAGGTGAAAATTTTCTCATAGATTGTAATTGTTTTACAAGAGTAAGAACCTGTGTTATGTATTTCCGCATATAGAACAGAAAGTTTTTTTACGGATATCCTATTTGTTTGCATCATTGTTACTCGCTAGTTAGTTTTCATTTACTTATTTTTTAATTTAGCATTGTTATTATTCTAAGAATTAAATTAAATGGCAAATGAGGCTTCTGTAAATATGCATTATATCTACAGCATCAACAGATCTTATGGCATTACTATAGATCTCAATCAATTCACGAGGGCTGATATTGATTGTTTTTCGAAGTCATAACTTTGATCAATTCTCAATTATTACGTCGATCATATGGCAGCTGTGGCACATCAATGCAACACTACCAATCATCGGCCTTGTCTTGAATATAAATTTCTATCTGCACAAAACTCAAAAACTGTACTATTGAAAACATTCATTAACCTATTCCAGCCATACAAATTTTCACGAAAATTTTAGAAGTCTAAGTGTTGTCGTCAGAGCCTTTTCTGCTGGTGAGAAACTCTAGAAAAGGAGTCTAATACCGATTGTCGCCGAATGCTTAAGTCCTTAGTGGGAAAAGGGAGAGAGAGGGGGAAGAGCTTCAACTTACAACTTACACTCACTATTTTCTTCGAAAATACATGTGAGTTCCACAATATCCAAAAAAAAAATCACAACGATTATCCTACCACGTTTAAGAGAATATTTCTTCACTGGTTGTTTTGTATTCGATTGTTTATCTTCATCTCGAGCTCCATTTCGAACCGGTAAACATCCACACAATTGCATATTTCAATTTATACTAATTCAATTTATCCAAAAAAAACAAACGAGAAGAAAAATTTATACATATATATATATATACGTATAAATGGTGTTGTTTTAAATGTATATATAAAGACACGCAACACCATAAGAAAAGAAAAAAGAATTGATCTGTGTGTATCATTGGCTCAAAAAAGGGGCTATAGAATAAGACGATTGTGTATCACAGTACGGGAAATAAGCATTGCATCGCATCTGCATGTAAAGGGAACGAAAAAAAACGACGGATAAATAATAACAATGAGAGAAAGAGAAGAGAGACAAAAAACAAATTTGTTCAAGAACGCTCGCAAGCATTTAATAATCGTAAATTGTCATCGAATAATTGTCTTAATGATAAATCAGAAATATTTTTTAGTCGATCTTCAAGTAAACATCGAATTTCATGTAATACATGATGACATGTTTGACATTTGTCACGTCTAAATTTAGTTTGTTTAAATAATTAATACAGAAAAAGATATTCTATTTTTATTTACCGTGCTTGTTGACTGAGATCTACACCAATTGATTTAGCTCCAACATTATCATAGATTAATTTACCAAAATGTGAAAGAATTCGTTCAAGTGTTTGACATCCTGTCAAATTGTACCTAGAATTTGAATATTGAATATTGGTGAGGCTTATTTTGCATGAAATTTTTTTACAAATAGTAATGAGATTTGATAAGATCGCGTACAGCTGGTAAAATTAATGTACATAATTCAAGAGTCCAATCACGTCTAAATAATAGCAAAAAAAAAGGACAAATATAAAATTTTTATTTATAAATTCATACTGTAGATGAACGATTATTTCTTAATAGAAGATTTTATAACTTGTCACAGTAAAAAAAGTAAGAAAAAAAAATAGAAATAAACTAACATGAACTTTAAGAAACAAGATTGTGCTTATTCATATTTGCAAGAAAGATATTAAATTTGAAATGAAAGAAAACTGAAAACACCATTTCATGATAAAAGCAATGGAATATGATTATGAAAGCATGTATTTTAATATTTCTAAATGCTTTATCAAAGAAAGAAGATTGAGTCTGCTTGATACTATTAACTTGTTTTAATTTTAATTGTATCGGTTTAGACGATTTATTTGTCTACACTAACTCAAAAAAAATCAATGTCATCTTGCTGAAATGGTTGTTATTTAAACAAAACATGTACTGATTAGGCTTATCAAATTTCCTGATTTTAGACTTTTGCTTCTACTTTTAGATACATTGTAGATCAATAACAAAAAAGGAAAAAAGAACTAATTTATCACAATATTGATTAGATAATAACTGAAACAGAATGATACATGACTTACGAGGAAGTGTCTCCTCGAATGTACTGAGAAATGTCGAAACGAAAAATGTCGAAAAGCTAAAATGTCGAAATGAAAAATGTCGAAAGGGAAATTGTCGGAAACTACAAATAATAAAGATCATGAGACGCAACTATTAATTAAATTAATAACATGTACAATACAAAATTTTACCATAGAATATAGATAGGGATAAATTAATCACCACTTCCTCTGGAACAAAAAGAGAAGAGTTATAATGATTAGAAGTTAAGCTCATAAAGTCTAATTATCAGACGAATTGATCAAAGAAATGACAAGAGTATACACAAGAA